GCACGACGCCCAGCACGGCCGTCCGCAGCCGCGCGGGCGTGATGGGCACGCCGACGAGCTCGCGGCCCGTCTCGAAGCCCATGCCGCCGCCGAGCTCCCAGATGTGCGCGACGTCCTTGGCCGCGCTCGTCGTCCGCGACCGCCGCGCGAAGACGTACTCGAGGGCGACCGTGGGCTTCGGCGCCTCCTTGGCGACGGACGGCTGGAGCAGGGCGAGCAGGCTCGACTTGCCGCTGCCCTGCTGCCCCACGAAGAGGCTGTAGCTCTCGAGGCTCGCGTTCGCCTTGTCCTCCTTCGCCGGCGCCTTCTCGAGGATGTCGAAGAGCGTCTCGATCTCCTCCTCCTCCTTCTTCCGCCGCCGTCGCGGCGGGTCGGCCATCGCGGCGGCGCGACGCGGCGAGCTCGGTATACGAATCGTTTGGCTGCCCCGGTGCTTGCCCTCCGCGCCGCTTGCATGTGCAGCACGGCGGCATCGACGGCCTGAAAAACGCCGAGGCATGCTCGGGGCAGCCATCTGAGGCAGCCCACTCGGTGGAGCGGCGGCGCGGCCTCGGAGCATCGACCCATGGGCCCGAAGAAGAGCAAGAAGGTCGCGCCCGCCGACGGCGGCAAGAAGGGCAACAAGAAGGGCGCGAGCAAGAAGGTCGCGCCCGCCGCGCCGGCGGCCGCCGCGCCGGCGCCGGCGCCCGCACCGGCGCCGCCGCCGGCGCCCGCGCCGCCGCCGGAGCCCGTCGGCCCGCCGCCGCTGCCCACGGACCCGCTCGAGTACGCGCGCGCCGTCTGGAGCGACCCGCCGCGCGAGGACGTCGCCGTCGCCAAGGTCCGCGTCGTCTACAGCTCGTACAAGACGGAGTTCGAGACGCGCAACGGCGTCGTGCGCTGGAAGGACATCGACGACGAGTACGCCATCTCCTTCGTGTTCAAGGGCGAATTCGCGAAAAAAATGCGCGCGTTCCCCGCGGGCGTGAAATCGAGCGACGCCGCGGCCGACGACGTGCCCGCGATGGCGTCCGCCATGGGCACCGTGGGCGTCGACGACGAGGGCGAGCGCGACGCGTCCCTCGACGAGCTCTTCTGGCTCGGGCTCGAGCCCGACTTCGACGGCAAATACACGCTCGAGGTCGAGGAGGACGAGGCGGCGGGCCTCGGCGTCGAGACGCGCGACGGCCCCCTGGTGCTGGGCGAGAACCCCAACGGCGGCGGCGCCCTGCCCGTCGGCGACGCGGGCGCGCGGAAGGAGGGCTGCTCCTGCATCTACGGGAACCCGTGCCAGGACAAGTACGTCTGCCTGAACTGGAACGGCCGCTTCGAAGTCGCCAAGAAGAACGGGTGGAAGGGGTTTTAAGACGTCGGGGCGTAGGAGGGGACTTTCGTCGCCGTGGGAGAGTATGAATCTTCGTCCTCGTCCTCCGAGTCGTCCTCGTCCTCGTCCTCTTCGTCCTCCGCGAGTCCCTTCGCGTGCGGCGGCGCGGCCGCGCCCGCGGCGGCGCCGCCGAGGGCGACGTCGACGGTCGTGGACTGCCCCCACTCGTCGGTGACGGTGAGCGTCGCGCCCGCGGCGGCGGCGCGGACGCCGGAGACGGACACGCGCGTCTGCCGCCAGTGGGGCAGCCACTCGAAGTCGCCCTGGCTCAGCGTCGAGCCCCGCGCCTCGAGGACGAAGGACGCGGCCATGGCCCGCGTCGACTTGAAGGCCGCGTGGGACTTGAAGTCGAGGCGGCCGTCGTCGCCGAGCGTCGCGCCGTACGCCAGAGGCGCGGAGAAGAACTTCTCCGGCGCGTAGACCTTCCAGCCGCTCGAGATGCCCTGGGCGCAGCCCTTGAGCGTCTCGTCGTTCGTCTCCCAGTCCTCGGCCACGCACGTGCGCTCCGCGTTGCCGTAGATCTTGTAGGACCAGGCCACTTTGCCGTCGCGCGTGACTTCCAACAATTCCGTGTCGAAGAGGAGGTTTCGCGATGGCGACTGGATCGCGGGCCACCAGCTCGTGAACACGTTCTTCGACGGCAGCAGGTCCGCGTCGCCAAAGACCTCGCTGTAGCCGTAGGGGAACTCGTCGTAGAAGACGTACTCGAAGAAGATCCGCGCCGTCTCGGCGCCCTCGTCGACTTTGAACCCGAGCACGCGGCTCGGGAAGTGGGACGTCTGGCTCGCGACCGTGTCCTTGTCGTCGCCCTGGCCCGTGTAGGCGTTGTCGAAGAGGAAGACGCCGTCCTCCGCGAAGGACTCGGGGTTGTGCTGGCCGTGCCAGAACGAGGAGCCGCGCGCGTAGGTCTGGCCCCGCTGGTCGACGATGTCGAGCGTGCCGTAGTCGCCGCCGGCGATCCACTTCGTCGCGCCCGTCGCGACGTCGATGGCGTTGACGCTGTTGTAGAGGCGGCACGACACGTAGGCCGTCTCCGCGCCGGCGGCGTCGGCGACGACCTGGACCGCGTTGACGTCGCGGCAGTTGTCGACCTCGACGCCCTTGCGGATGCCGCCCGTCGCCGCGTCGATCAAGGAGAAGGACGTGCCGCACTGGCCGACGCAGTCGAGGTGCGCGCCCGTCGACTGCCAGTAGGCGTCGTCGCCGGCCTCGAGCTGGATGTCGTGGCTCGAGAAGATGATCTTGTCGTTGAGGCGCCGCAGGTGGTCGCCGGCGACGTTCGCCTTGTCCTCGTCGTCTTTCCAGCTCCAGACGTAGGCGTAGCCGTCCTCGTTCATGAAGTCGTTCGACATCGTCACGAGCGTGTCCGGGTCGACGACCTTGACGGGGTCGAAGTGCGTCGACATCTCGCCCCGGTCCTTGTCCGTCGTCGACACGACGCTCACCAGCTCGCCGTCCTGCGCCGCGACGACGAGGAAGCTCGACCGCGTGCCGTCGACGCCGTTGCCGTTGTAGAGCGCGAAGGCCACGAGGCCGCCTTCGCGGCCCGTGGACCCGGCGACGAGCGCCGGGTCGTAGGTCACGTCGACGCGGCTCGGCACGAGCTCGAGGAGGTCGTCCCAGCCGTCGACGCGGTCGACGAAGGCCCGCACGTTCGCGAAGGCGAGGAAGTCCGACGCCGTGTAGGAGCAGGCGACGGACCCGTCCGCGGCCGCCGCGCAGCGCTGTGTCGCCGCGTCGCCGGGCGGCGGCGCGCTCGCGTCGGGCCGGAGCGCCTGGGCCGCGTCGACGTCCGCGGCGCTCTTGGGCGCCCGCGACGATTCCGTCGGGCCGCCCTCGGGGCGATCCGCGGGCGCGCCGTCCTTCAGGCGCTTCGCGTCCTCGCGGTCGGGGAGGGAGTCGGGCGCGTCCCGGGCGACGCCGCGGTCGTCGGCGGTGGAGGCGGCGTCGGTGGAGGCGTCGGCGTCGGCGGCGTCGGCGGCATCGGAGGGCGCGTCGTCGTCGCCGCCGTCGGGGGGCGGGATGATTTCGTCGGCGACGGCGTCGGAGGGCGCGTCGTCGTCGCCGCCGTCGGGGGACGGGATGACGCCGTCGGCATCGGAGGGCGCGTCGTCGTCGCCGCCGTCCGGGGGCGGGACGATTTCGTCGGCGAGGGGCGCCCAGTCGTCGGCCGCGGCCGCGAGGGACGTCGCGTCCGCGGGGGCCGGGGCCTTGTGGGGGTCCGCGGCCTTGCCGAAGTCGACGGCGAGCGACGTCTCCGTCGGGCTCGCCGGCGTCTCCGCCGGCGCGCGGAGCCCGCCGCCGTCGATGATTTTGGGCTCGGACGCGATCGCGTCGGTCTGCACGTCCTCGGGCCGGTGCGGCCAGAGTTCGTCGTCCGGCGCGTCGGCCGCCGGCGCGGCGTCCATGGCCTCGCCCCCGGCGGGGGGCGCCGCCCCGGGCCGCCGCGCCGGCGCCGTGAGCACGGCCGCGGACGTCGCGAACGCGACGGCGAAGACGACGAGGAACGCCTGGCGCCGGTGCCGCGGGATCCAGGGGGCCCGTTCCCGCGCCGGCGCCTCGACGGGGCCGTCGTGGTAGCTCGACGAGAAGGGGTTGAGCAGGGATTCGGCCTCGGGATCGTCCTCCATCTCGTCGAGGCGGTCCGAGAAGGCGCCGGGCGAGTACAATGGGGCGCTCATGATGTTCGAGCCGGCGTCGGATGGGTTCGGCGCGCCGGGTGGGGTTCGCCGGGTCTGAGAGTAGTCCCCCCGCGCTCGCGGGCCTCCCCAGGGGTCTGAGAGTGTGACCGCGCGCGCCCGCAGGAGGGTGATCCTCGAGCCTCGAGCAATTGGCAAGTGAATTTCAGCGCCGCGACGCCGTGCGAGCTCGCGCACAGCCTGCGAGTGCCTTCGCCCCGCCCCTCGCTCCGCCCCTCGCACAACGCTCTTACTACACGGAGCTCCACCACGCGGCGTTGGGGTCGTCGTCGTCGACGCGGCGCTCGAGCGGCGACGGCCGCGGCGGCGTCTCCGCCAAGCGCCGCGGCTCCGGCGCCGCGAGGTCGCCCGGGCGCGCGCGGCGCGGGTCGAGGCTCGCGGGCGGCGGCGTGCGCGGCCGGTCGTCGAGCGTCGCGAGCTCGAGCGCGGGCGCCGCGGCGTGGTCCGGCGACTTGGACCGCCGCGCCGCGCGCTCGCGCGCGCGCTCCCTCCGCGCGTGGTTCACGCGGCCGCAGCCGCGGAACAGCACGCGCGGCGCCTCGCGGACGACGCGGCCCAGGTCCGCCGTGACGTCGCCGATGAAGAACATGTCGCGGTAGGCCTGGTCGTAGGACAGCGCCTGGTCGTCGCCGCCGCCGTCCGCGTCCCAGGCCGCGGAGCTCCGCGCGGGCGACGCGCCGAGGGCCGCCATGGGGTTGAAGGTCGCGCCCCGGACGCAGTCTTTCGCGTGCTCGCGCCAGCCGAAGACGCCCAGGTGGACGACGGAGAACACGGCCATCTCGACGCAGACGACGAAGTCGTTCATGCCCGTCGTCGTCGCGTCCGCGGACCGGTGGCTCAGCTGGCGCCGGATGACGCCCAGCGCGACGAGGATGGAGATGGCGCAGTACTGCCAGAAGCAGAAGAAGACCACGGCCTTGACCGCGAGGAATTTGGCCAAAGGCCGCCCCCGCTGGAGCGGCGCGCAGGGCAGGCTCGCGTGGTAGAAGTAGATGAGGTAGTAGAGCGCGAGCGTCACGGACGAGTTGTTCAGGAGCATGAGCCAGAGGTAGGACCCCGAGAACCGCAGGTCCGCGTCGTCGTAGTCGCCGCTGAAGTAGAGGAAGAGCGTGCAGACGGCCGTCAGCGGCCGCACGATGGAGTACTGGAGCGTGCAGAGGCGGCACGTCGCGAGGAAGACGGACATGTCGTGGTCGCCCATCCACCCGAAGGGCCACCAGTGCTTCTGGGGCGGCTGCGCGGCGAAGAACGCCTGCGCGGCGTCCTCGCCGCCCATGTAGTCGATGAGCAGCGCGACGAAGTTGTAGATGACGTAGCTCTCGTAGACGTCGCGCGGCACCTCGAAGAGGATGGCCACGCGGATGAAGCAGAGCGACAGGAACGAGTCCACGGCGTAGATGGGCACCATCCAGAGGATGCGGATCACGTAGCGCTGCCGCTGGGGCTTCACGTAGTTCCGCAGGTGGCTCCGGATGAGGTGGAGCGACATGGCGATGGACACGATCGTACACAAGCCCGCGACGATGACGGCGCTGTCGTAGGTGCCGAGCAGCGGCCGCGCGTCCGTGGGGCGCGGCGTCGGCAGGAACGACGGCCGCGGCGTCGGCGCGTGCGTCGTCGGCGCCAAGGTCGGCGCGACGGTCGTCGGCGCCAGGGACAGCTCGAAGGGCGCCGCCGACGGGAAGAGCGTCGGCGCCATGCGTGCGACGGCGCGGCGCCGATCGACGCGCGCAGCAGTCGACGCGCGCAGCACGCCGGCGTTGGCCTACCAGACAACAACGGCGGCGCGCGCGAGAGCAGGGGTCGGCGCAGGCGTGGCGGGCGACGTGCGCAGCACGCAGGCGTTGGCCGACCGTCCGCGCGCGTCGACGGCGGCGCGGACGGCGCGGGCGAGGGCGCAGGCGACGAAGGCGCCACAAAGCCAACGTTGCTCAGGCACGACGCGATGATGCCGTCCGACACGACACGTCCGTGCCACGACGCCCCCGTCGGACGCGCGAAACACGGACCCCGGGGGACTTCAGAAGCGACGTTCCTTAGCCTCACTTGGCGTACTTGAAGTCGGCGAAGTCGTAGGCCTCGCCGGGCGCGGGCACGAGCGGCGGCGCGTCGTCGCCGTCCTCGTCCATGGCGTCGTCGTCGTCGTCGCTCTCGTCGTCGCTGTCGTCGTCGGCCATGGGCTGGTGCGCGAGGCCGACGACGTCGAGCGCGCCCGCGTCCGTCGTGGGCTTGTCCGCGACGGCGAGGACGACGCCGTCGGCCATGGCGTCGAAGTCGTCGGCGACGAGGCCCTTGACGAGCGTCGCGCGCGACGCGTCGGAGGCGGAGGCGGCCTTGGCCGGGGGCGCCGTGTAGAACTTGACGTCGCCGCGCGCGAAGTCGCGGAGCACCTCCGTCGCCGCCTTGTCGAAGTCGGGCACGCCGCCGCGCTTGAGGCGGCCCGTCTTCTTCGCGACGGCCGCGAGGAAGCGCTGGGGGTCGTCGAAGGCCGGCAGGTCGTAGCGCATGGCGAGGGCCGCGGGGTCCGCGCGCTTGATCAGCGCGCACGCGGCCGCGGGCGCGTCGCGGAGCTCCGCGGCGTCGACGCAGCCGCGCAGCAGCAGCGAGCAGAGCGCGTCCGCGCGGTCGTCGCCCGAGCCCTTCTCGTGGGCGACGCCGACGACGCCCGGCGAGTCGATGAGCGTGAGCTTCGAGTCGAGCTTCACCTCCTTCAACGACTTGGTGAAGCCGGGCGTCGCCGACACGGCTCCGCTCCCCGCGTCGCGCTGCGAGCCGTGGTCCGCGCCGCGCCGCGCGCCCACGAGGGACTTGATCACCGACGACTTGCCCGCGTTCGGGAAGCCGACGACGCCGACCACGAGAGCGCCGGGCCGCCCGCCGGACTCGTCGCGCGCGTAGTTCTTCAGCAGTTGGAGCAGCGAGTCGACGCCGAGCGCGGACGTGAGCGCGCGCGCGTCGTCGCAGACGGCCGCGTCGCGCGATTTGTCCAGCGGGTTCACGCCGGACGCGCCGCCCTTCTGCGTGCCCGCCTTGAACGCGACGACGGCCAAACCCGTGGACCGGAGCGCGTCGAGCCATTTCGTGGCGACGTCGCGGGGGACCAGATCGACCTTGTTGAGCACGAGCACGAGCCGCTTGCCCGGCGCGCCCGCGACCATGTTCTCCACGCGCGAACTCCGCGACCCGAGGGGGTCGCGCGCGTCTAAAACCTGGAGCACGACGTCGCTGCTCTCGACGACCTTGGCCAATTCCTTCGCGTAGGCCCGCGCGGACCGCTTCGCGGCGTCGCCGACGTCGAGCGCGGCGTCGCGCGACACCGCGGCGTCGCCCAAGCCGCCGCCGCCGCCGCGCGCCTCGAAGGCCTCGCCCGCGGCGCGCGCGCTCGCCGCGAGCGCCGCGAGCGACCCGCCGCCGGCCTTGGCGAGCTTCCGCGCCTCCGCGCGCGCCTCGCGGTCCTCGACCTTCTTCCGCTCCGCCTTCTCCTTGGCGAGCGCGACCTGCTCCAGGAGCTCCTTCTTCAGCGGCCACGAGTTCGGGATGCCCGGGTCCTTGAACTTCTTCCCGGGCGCCTTGCCGCCCTTCTTCGCGAGCTTGCGCAGCTTGCGGTCGTGCTCCTGGACGCGCTTCTGGATCTTGTACTTCTGCTTCAGGGTCTGGCGGCTCGACTTGCTCTTCTTCTTGACCATGGTCGCTGCTGGCCCTGCGACGACGCGCGAGGCGACGGGCGATGAAATCGTCCGAAGCCGAGCGCGAAGCAAACTTCGAGGCGTTGGCGTCACCTTGTCGTCAAGTAGTGAAGTAAGTTGTGTCCGTTAAGGGACAGGTCTCCCGCGTTGCCAAACCTTACTCGCCGCCCCACTTCTCGTCAAGTATCGCCGCCTCATAGCCAACTCTTACTCGCCGCCCCCGCGCCGCTGGCGCGCCAGAGGGCCCCCGAGACGTGGACGTTGAGCGACCGCACGACGCCGAGCTGGGGGATCTCGACGCAGACGTCGCAGAGGTCCATGAGGTCCCCGGGCACGCCCTCCTTCTCCCGGCCGAGGAGGAGCACCGCGGGCGACGGCAGCTCCGCGTCGCCGGCGAGGGACGTCGAGTTCGTCGCCTGCTCGAGGGCGACGACGGCGTAGCCCCGCGCCTTGAGGCCGAGGAGCCAGGGCCGGAGGTCGCGCGGCGCGACGGCCTCCGTCGCGATCCACCGCTCCGCCGTGACCGCGATGGCCTTGAACTCCTTCGTCCGCGCGCAGCGGTCGTCGGGCAACACCAATTTCTCGCAGGCGAAGACCTCCGCCGTGCGGCAGAGGCCCGCGAGGTTCGGCGCCTTGTCGACGAGCGACGCGCAGACGACGAGCGGCACGGTCTCGCGGCCGACGGCGTTGCGCCGCCCGCGCGCGAGCGCGGCGGACCCGGAAGCGTCGCCCGGCGCCGCCGGCGCGCGCGCGCCGTCGTCGTCGGAGTCGTCGTGGCCGAGGTCGACGGCGATCTGGTCGATCTTCCGTTGCACGAAGAGCGGCTCGCGCGGCGGCGGCGGCTCCGCGGGAGCGACGCCCGGCGGCGGCGGCGGCGGCTTCCAGAGGAGCTGCGCGAGGCCCGCCGCCTCCTCGGCGGCGTTGAGCTCCGCGTTCGCGCGACGGACGCGGGCACGACGTCGCCGTATTCGTGCGCGCCGCTCGCGAGCATGCCCTCGACCGTGCAGAGCGCCGGCGACCGCAGCTTCGAGAAGAATTTCGATTGGCGCTCGAGGTTGCGCCGTAAATCCGGGTCGACGCGCAGCGCGCGGACGAGCACCGCGAGGAAGCCGTCGCACGCGTCCAGATCCACATCCTCCGTGAGCCGCGCCACGAGGAGCTGCGCGACGCCCCGCACGAGGCCGCGGCTGCTGCCCACGAGGCCCGCGGCGAGGCGCAGCAGCTCCGGGCGGAAGGCCACCGCCGCCGGCGCCACGGGCCCCCAGACCCCGTCGTCGCCGTCGCCCGGCAACACGCCGTGGCCGAGCGCGACCAGCAGGCTCGCGAGCGCGAGCTCGCGGCCGCAGGGCATGTCCGCGGCCGTCGCCTCGGCGACGGGCGCGCCGAGCCGGGGCAGCACGACGGCCGGCCAGCGCCGCGCGGCGAGGCACGCCGCGGCCTCGACGGCGTAGCGGACGCACGGCAGCGACGGCGACGCGAGCGCGTCGACGGCCGCCGCGGCGACGGTTTCCGGGCAGGCCGGCGGCGCGCGCGCGAAGATGACGCCCAGGGCCTGCCAGCAGCGGAGCCGCGCGCCCCAGGCCGACGTGCGCCCCGCGGACGCGCGCCGCGTCGCCGCGAGCAGGCCCGCGTCGCGCACCGCGAGCTCGGTCGCGACGAAGTCGCCGAGCGCGCCGACGCCCCGCGAGCTCCCAAAGTCCTCGAGGCACCGCAGCACGGCCAGGCGCGCCAGGCTCAGGCCGCCCTTGCCCGCGTCGTCGGCCATGAGCGCCAGGACGGCCCCGTCGCCGCCGTGCTGCCCGTCGTCGGGCCCGTCGTCGGGGATCTCGTCGACGTGGAGCAGGGGCTCGCGGTAGAGCAGCAGGTCCGCCGCGACGCCGGCGAAGATGGAAAAGCGCGCCGGGTCCGCGTCCTTGGCCGCGGCGAAGGCGCTGCAGAGGCCGAACGCGAGCGCGCGCGACGCGTGCGGCCGCCGGCTCCTCGCGTGTTCCAGGAACGCCGCCGCTAAACCCGCGACGGACGCCCCGAAGGCCTCGCTCGCGGCCGCGTCCGTCAGGTAGCGCGCCGCCGCCGGCGCGACGACGCGCGTCGCCAGGGCCGCGGCGACGCGCGGCGACTTGGACGCGCAGTCGAGGAACGCGCGGAGCGACAGATCGACGACGCGACCGCAACCCGCCGCGTCGCCCGCGCGCAGCGCGTGGAAGGCGCAGCGCAGGCAGGCGACGACGGCGGCGCGGCTCGTGCCGCAGCGCTCGAGGGACGCGGCCAGATCCTCCGCGTCCACTTCGACGCCGCCCGCGTCGAGGACCGCGGCGACGACGCCCCATCGAGCGGCCTCGGCCGCGGCGACGGCGCGCGTGTCGCGCGCCGACGGCGCCCGCGCGCAGGCCTCGGCGAAGGCCGCCGCGGCGTTGCGCCAGGTGCCGTCGAGCCGCGGGTCCGCGAGCACGGCGGCGTCCCGGAGGCAGGCGCGGAGGCGCCGCGCGGCCGCGGCCGCGCGCGCGGCGTCCGCGGGCGGCCCCGCGGCGACGATCGCCGCGGCGTCGTCCGCGGCGGTTGCGCGCAGGGCCGCGGCCGCGGCGCACGCGCGGCCCGCGCCGAGCGCGGCGAGGCCCGCGCGGAGGTCCGCGGCCGCGTCGACCGCGGCCGCGTCCGGTCCCGGCCGTCGGCGAGCAGCGCCGCGAGCGTCGCCCGGGCGCGGTCCCCCGGGAGCGCCGCGGCGAGCGCGCGCGCGGGCTCGGGCGCGCTCCCGCCGAGCGCGTCGAGCACCGCGGCCGCGCGCGCGGCGTCCGCCGTCGCCAGGAACGCCGCCCAGGCGCGGCCGTCGGCGACGCGCGCGAGCCACGCCGCCTGCGCGTCGCGCAGCGGCCCCGCCGCCGCGAGGGACGCCGCCGCGGCCCACGCCGCCGCGGCGGCGAGCGCCGGCGGCGCGCGACGCGGCCGCGCGGCGCAGAGGAGCGGCACGAAGGCCTCGAGCAGCTCCCGCGTCGCCGACGCGTTGCGGCCTTTGCGCGACCGCTCGACGGCCGCCGCGGCGGCGACGAGGTCGCCGTCGCCGATTTCGGGGCCCGGGAGCGCCGCGAGGGGCCCGGCGACGCGGAAGCAGCGCCGGAGCGCGCGGAGGCCGTTGGAGCCGGGCGAGAAGCCGTCGCCGCGCAGCGCGAGGCTCGCCATGGTCGCGCGCGTCGCCGGCGGCGCCGCGGCGTAGGCGGCCGCGAGGAAGGCCGTCGCGGCGCCGTCGAGCTCCGCGATGACGTCCCGCGCCCTGCGGAGCTCGCAATCGTCGAGGAGGCGGAGCGCGTCGTCGCGGACGAGGGGCCAGGGCGCCGCCGCCGGGGCGACGACGCGCCCGCCGAAGAACTCGACGAGGAAGGCCTTGCGCACGGCCGGGTTCTCGTTGCGGAGCAGGCGCCGCGCGAGCGCCGCGGCCCACGGCGGCGACAGCGGCGGCAGCGGCGCCGCGGCGCCGCCGCCGGCCGCGAAGCACGCCGCGCAGCCCGCGAAGACGGGGAAGACGAGGTGCGCGCTCGACTCGAACTCCGCGGCGGCCCAGGCGCCGAGCCAGCGCCGCCACGCGCCGACCGCGGCCTCGCCGCCGCCGCCGGCCGCGGCGGCCGCGGCGCCGCGCTCGACGACGCGGAGCGCCGCCTTGCGCAGCGCGCGGCTATGTGCGTCCTCGGCCGCGGCGAGCACGGCGGCCCAGGGCGGCGCGGCGCCCGACGCGACGAAGGGCCCGAAGGCCGCCGCCCACGCGCCGAGCGCCGCGCCCCGGTCGCGCCCCGCGGCCGCGGCCGCCGCGCACGCGTCGCCCGCGGCCCGCCAGGCGGGCGACGGCCGCGGGTCCGCGTCCGCGAGGGCCCGGAGCAGCGCCGCGGGCCGCGGGCGCGCGGCGCAGGACGCGAGCGCCGCCGCGACGACGTCCGCGAGCTCCGGCGCGCCGCCGGCCGCGCGCGCGACGGCCGCGAGCGCGTCCGCGGCGCCCGCGCCGTCCGACGACGCGGCCGCGGCCGCGGCGGCGCGCGCCGCCGCGGCCGCCGCGCTGCTGCTCCCGCAGCGCGCCGCCGCGGCCGCGACGCACGCGAGGCCCGGCGCGTCGCCGGCGCACGCGCGGCGCGCCGCCGCGGCCGCCGCCGCGCGCACGGCCGCCTCGGGCCAGTCGCCGCATCCGCGCGTCATGCGCCGCAGCGCCGCGTCGCTGAGGGGCGCGCAGGCGCCGCCGGCGCAGGCCGTGACGTCGTCGGTGTGGAGCGCACCGAGGAGCGCGTCCGCGACGGCCGCGCGCGCTGCGTCGTCTTGCGATCTGCTCAGCGTCGGTGGCAGGGTGAGCTTTTCCAGGACATCACTGCAAAATTGCACGGAATTTGCCGCACACATGCTTGCTGCGACAGCCATGCCTCGCTCGCCTAAGGCAAGCTCTTAAAGTTGAAGTTCAAGTGAAACCCTGCGTTTGCATGGATGTTCGTGGGAAAGGTTGACATCTGGTTTTCCAACGTTCGTTGATATTCAAGTTGCCACCTGCTGCAGGATCGCGTGAGTGCATCGTAACTACCGGGGCGCCTACGGCGACGCGTCGTCGTCGTTCCGGGGCAGGCAGCCCGAGAGGTAGTCGTAGTTGGCATCGAACCAGGCGCAGCCGGGGTAGGCGTCGGTGGGGACGCGGTAGACCGCGGGCGCCGCGCTGACGTTGAGCACGGCGAAGCCCGTCGCGTCCGCCCACGCGGGCCACGCCGGGAGCCCGGCGCCGTTCGGGTCGCCGGCCTTGGCGAAGTTGGCCCACCAGCCGCGCATGTTCGCGGAGACGGCCGCCTGGGCCGGCGTCGGGTCCGGTAGCGTGCCGAAGACGTACTCGATCTCCGCGGCGTGGAGCGCGAGGCCGAGGTAGGTCGGCTCGACGAAGTGGTAGATCCAGCTCCGCTCCGCGGCCTCGCTCAGCCAGAACGCGTTGCACGCATAGTTGTAGTCCGTCTCGCACCGCTGCGCGGCGTAAAAGTCGGAGCTGTAGCCGCGGCCGTCGGCGCCCGGGAAGCCGCCGGGCACGGGGAAGAGCGCGTCGAGCGCCGCGACGTGCTCCGAGTCGAACCTCGTCCGGAAGTAGTCCTCCAGCCCCTTCCCGTCCATGCCCTCGAGCGCGGCCGGATACCCGGGCACGAACATCGCGCCGTCGTTCAAGTTGAAGCCGCTGATCGTGCTCGTGTTCGGCCGCAGCAGGCCCTGGCGCGCGCGGCGGACGACGCGCCCCTTCACGAGCGCGTCGTCGATGGCCGGCGCCCAGGTGCAGGCGTCGCGGCAGGGCACGACGGTCACCGCGGCCGCGAGCGTCGCGGACGACGCGTTGAGGAGGCAGGGGACGGCGTCCGCCGCCGCGCCGCACGCGGCGGCGGTCGCGGCCGCGCGGAAGTTGCCCTCGGCCGCGGCCATGTCCTGGTAGGTCCAGAACGACCCGCTGCCGCTCTCGAGGATCGCCCGGTGGAACAGGGGCCACGCGCGTTCGATGGCCAGGAGATGGCTCACGCTGCCCGCGCCCGACGACTGCCCGAAGATCGTGACGCGGCTGGCGTCGCCCCCGAAGGCCGCCGCGTTGTCCCGGACCCACTCGAGCGCGAAGATCGTGTCGAGGAGGCCGTAGTTGCCGGTCGTGCCTTTCGGGTCGCGCGACCGGAGCCTCTCCGACCCGAGGAACCCCAGCGCGCCGAGGCGGTAGTTGACGGACACGACGACGACGTCGCCGGAGCTCGACAGTTCGAATCCGTCGTAGGCCGCGGCCGCGTTCGACCCGGAGACGAAGCAGCCGCCGTGGATCCAGACCATGACCGCCCGCGGCGGCGCCGGCGCCGACGGCGCCCAGACGTTGGCGTTGAGGCAGTCCTCGGAGACGCCGCGGCACGCGCCGTCGCGGGACCGGCTCGCGCAGCGCGCGGTGCCGTCGAAGAGGAGCGCGTCGAGCGACTGGACGCAGCCCGCGCCGTAGAGCTGGGCCTCGAAGGTCCCGCTCCAGGCCACGGCCGTCGGCGGCGCCCAGCGCAGCTCGCCGACGGGCGCCGACGCGTAGGGCACGCCGCCGAAGAAGTCGACGGCCCCGTACGCCGTCCCGGACACGCGGCCGCCCGTCGTCGTCGCCGTCGGCGCGTCGGCCGTCGGCGCGTCGGCCGCCGCCGCGTCGGCCGTCGGCGCGTCGGGCGCCGCCGCTTCGGGCGCGACGCAGATGTCGCCGCCGGTCGCGAAGCTTTTGCACGCGAGCCCGGGGCAGCACGCGAGCTTCGGCGCTTCGCGAGAGCATCGGTGCGACTTTTTGGCGCACGTCTCCGGCTCCTCGCTCGCGCGCTGCGGCGGCGTGCCCGTCTCCGGCTCCTCGCTCGCGCGCTGCGGCGGCGTGCCCGTCTCCGGCTCCTCGCTCGCGCGCTGCGGCGGCGTGCCCGGCGGCACGCAGACCCGCGCGCAGTGCCCCGGCCCCGGGAAGTTGCGCAGGTCCGCGGGGCTACAGCGCCTTTGCCACTCGCAGCCCCCGGCGGCGCACGCGAGCGCCGAGTCGACGCCGAGGCACTCGTCCGTCGCGCGGCAGCCCCGCGCCCCGTCCAGGAAGCAGCGGTTCCGCGACGCGTCCCAGGACTCCATGCTGCTCGTCAATTCGTACTCGCAGCGGTCGCCGTCCCGCGCCTCGCAGGGCACGTCGTCGACGCAGCCGGACATCGTATCCCAGACGCAATGGTCCTGGAACCGGAACACGAGGCATTCCGAGCGCGTCTTCCGAGCCGGGCACCTCGACGCGAGCGCCGCCGCGGGCAGCGCGAGAACGAGGCGGGCGCGCATTATGGATCCGCGAATCGATATACGCAGAGCTGCATGCAAAACCTCAATCTCATTCGTAACTGCATCAACGAGAGCTGCGCCTTGCAAGGTGATCTCAGCCGTGGAAGGAGCGGCTGGGCTGCAGCTCTCCCGTCCGCGTGGGAGCATCAACCTCCGCCGCAGTCCTCGTCCCGCCATGGCCACCTACGACCAGGTCGTGGGCGGCCTGCCCGGCGGGGGCCGCATGAGCCCCATCGCCAAGCCCTACGACCCGCCGGACGCGCCCGACAAGCCGGACCCGCGGAGCCCGCGGAGCCAGGTCGGCGAGCGCGCGACGGACACGCTGAAGGAGCTCGCGGCCGAGGGTCGGCGGCGGCCGCGGCCGCGGCGGCGCAAGAAGGGCCCGGGGCCCGAGGCGCCGCGCGAGCGGTCGGGCAGCGCGTCGCGCCTCGACACGCTGCGCCTCGACGAGTTCGAGAAGCGCCGCCTGGACGACTTCGAGCGGCGCGCGGCCGTCGAGGCCGAGGTCATCGCCGGGCGGCGGCTCCCGGAGGTCGAGGAGCCCCAGAGCGACTGGCTTTTCTCCTACCTCGGCTGCTCCGTCGGCTGCACGGGCGTCGCCTACCCGCAGCTCACGAGCACGCGCGCCATCGCGTCGAGCCGGTCCGCGTCCTGGGACGGCACGGACCTCGACCCGGAGAGCGACGAGGAGGTCATCACGGACGTCGAGCTCTTCGTCGTCGCGCACCGCGACCAGCCGCCGCCGCCGCCGCGCCGCAAGGGCGCCCCGCCGCCGCAAGCCTCGTCGTCCGACGACGACGGCCCGGGCGCCGCGCCGGAGCCCGACGCGAGCCTCGAGGCCGCGCGCGCCGCGCACCGCGCGCTCGCCGCTGCCAAAGCAACCGACGACCACTTCTCCGGCTAGCCCCCGACCCGCCCGCGACCTCTGCTGTTCCCTTCCCCGAGTGTATAGGCCCTTTTGTCTCGATTACGCCTTGGCGCGGAAGCGCGCGAGCGCGCCGACGTCCGCCTCCTCGCCGCGCTGGTCCGCGGCGGAGCCGAAGACGGCGGCGGGGATGGGCTTCACCGCGAGGCCCACGAGGGTCCCCTCGCCCTCGTCGTCGTCGTCGTCGTCGTCGAGGTCGATCTCGTTGGGGTCCGCGGCCTTGGCCTGCGGCGCGGCGGCCGCGGCGTCGACGATGCGCGCGGCCTGGCGCTCGAGCGCCTCCATCTCCGTCTCCGCCGCGCCGCCCTCGTCCGCGCCGCGCTTGACGCCGCGGCCCGCGTCGTCGCCGGCGCCGCCGCCGTCGAGCTTCGCGCGCGCCTCCGCGTCCGTCATCACGGGCATGTCCGTCTTGAGGAGGTTGTCCGCCGCGTAGACCGCGCCGCTCCGCGCCGTCTCCACGGACCGCTTCACGCGCAGCATGTCGCGGAACGTGTCCTCGTTGCCGTGGTGCACCTCGAAGTCGCGCCACGTCGCCCAGTAGTGGTCGTCGAGGTTCGGGTCGGCGAACTGCGCGCCGTGCGCGAGCACGCCGCGCGCGCGGTCGACCTCGCCGAGCGCCCGCTCCAACGCCGCGAACTTGAGGCACATGCGCGTGACGTCGCCGTCGCGGCGGAGCGCGGCGACGGCGGCCTCGTAGACGGGCCGCGCCTTGGCGGCGCCGAACGCGCGTTCCACTTTCGCCGCGTAGAGCGCGTAGGCGTCGAACTGGGCCTCGTCCGGCGCGGCCTGGGCCGCGCGCTCGTAGACGGCGGCGGCGCGCCGCGCGAGGCCGTGCGTCTCCTCGAGCTTCGCGTAGTCGACGTAGAGCTTCGCCGCGTCCGCGGGCGGCGCCTTCCGGAGCGCCTGCTCGTAGAGGTCGCGCGCGCGCTCCAATTTCGAGCCGCCGAAGCGCGCCACGAAGGCGCCGAGGTAGGCGGACCAGAGCTCGCGCACGTGGGGCCAGCGGAAGAGCGCGACGCCTCTCTCGTAGGCGCCGAAGGACGCCTCGTGGTAACCGGCGTCGTCGAGCATGCGCGCGTAGTTGAGGACGATGGCCGGCGTCGCGACCTTCAATTCGAGGCAGCGGTCGTAGGCCGCGCGCGCCTCCTCGAGCGTGCCCAGGGACTCCTCGAGGTCGAGGTAGAGCGCCCAGACCTTGGGGTTGCGGTGCACGCGGTCGGCCGCCGCCGCGGCGGCGCCGCCGCCGCCGCGGCGCCGCCGCGCGAGCGCCGGCGGCTCGACGCAGGCGCGCCGCGCGACGTCGAGCGCCGCGTCGTGGTGGCCGCCCCGCAGCTCCATCTCCGCCCACGCGCAGTAGACGGCCGCGAGGTCGTCCGCGCCGCGAAAGTCCGCCGCGCACGCCTTGTCGAAGACGACGCGCGCGTTCGCCAGGTCGCCGCGGTCCTCGTAGTAGCGCGCGAAGGCGATCCACAGCGATTCGACCTTGCCCGTGGCCCGCGCCGGGTCCACGGTCTTGACCGCGTCGCCGTAGCACGCGACGGCCTCCGCGGGGTCGTCGGCGACGAGCGCGGCGCGCGCGTGCCACTCCTTGACGTTGTGCGGGTTCTGGCGCAGCACGACGGAGCTCAAGAGCAGCGGCCGCCGCGTCATGAGGCGCTCGAGGCGCGCGAGGCGCAGCTCGAGGTCGAGCTCGTCCGTGACGCGGAACGTGCCGATGTCGGGCGGCGCCTCCTCCTCCTCGGAGTCGCCGCCGCCGTCCTCCAGCAATTTCATCTTCGCCGCGATGACGCTCTCCTCGAACTGGGCGTAGGCGTCGAACGCCAGGGAGAAGTCGCGCACCGTGACGACCGTCGTCACGGCCTCCTCGTAGACGTCGCGCGCGTCCTCGAAGTCGCCCAAACGGATGTAGTAGTCCGCGAGCTTGCACCAGAGCTTGCCCACCTCGTCCGTGAAGCGCGCGAGGCCGCTGCGAATCAACGCGTCCACGTCCAGGGACCGCGGCGCGGCCTCGGGGTGCGCCGCGCAGAGGTCGCAGAGCCGCATCCACAACTGGTGCCGGCTCTTGCCCGACGGGGAGGCGAAGTCGTCGTCCTCGCAGATCTTGACGAGCTCGACGATGGCGTCGCCGTGGCGGCCCTGGGCCGCGAGGTAGTCCACGAAGGCCTCGCGGCCGTTGGGCTCGTACATGACCCAGCGCCGGTGCGCGATGACCGCGGCCTCGACGACGCCGAACTCCGACGCCCATTCCACAAACTCGGGCCAGACGTGGTGGTGCTGCGTGATCGGCAGCGCCATGAGGCAGCGGTCGAAGGCGCGCCGCACCTCGCTCCCGAGGCCCATCTTCCGTAGACACGCGAGGTAGTCGAGCCAGATCCGCGGGAACTTGTTGCACGACAGGAGCGCGCGCTCGTAGGCGCCGACGAGCGTCTTCGCGCGGCCGCTCGTCGTCCAGCGGTCGCGCACGGCGACCTCGAGCTCGCCGAGGTACGCGTACCAGAGCTTGTAGCTCCGCGGCACGAGCCGGAGCGCGCGCTCGAAGATGAGCCGCCGCTCGCCGTGCGCGCTGTCGTTCTTCGCCTCGAGGTACGCGAGCCAGGCCTTGACGCTGAAGGGGTTCCGCGTCACCTCCGCCTCGTGGGCGCAGTGGTCCACGCCCGCGAGCAGCGCCTCGAGGCGCTGAGCGGGCGTCGCGGGCATGTTTTGCTGCCTATCTGCTGTCTCGGCGGCGCGGCGCGGCGGGAACCCGCGGCGCGGCGGGAGAATCGGCGGTCGCGGCGCGGCGACGGCGCGCGTGCACGGTCGCGGCGCGGCGACGGCGGGCGCGCGGTCGCGGGCGACGGCGAGGTGCGCGACGGCGTCGGCGGCGAGGCTGCGGCAATGTCGGCGCGAGCGCGAGGCCGCCCACCACAGCCGTCGTCCGCCGCCTGGCACCCACAGCCGTCGCCTGGCACCACAGCCGTCGTCCGCGTCCGTCGCCTGGCGTCGACCGCTGCCCCGCCGAGAAGCTCGTCAGGACACCATGTCGGCCTCGAAGAAGCGCAAGGTCGACGACCCGCTCGCCGCGCTCGTGCGGCGCGCCGTGGCGCTGCGGCGCGAGCTCCACGCCTACCCGGAGCCCGGCTTCGAGGAGAAGGAGACGCAGCGGCGCATCCGGGCGGTGCTCGCGGAGCTCGACGTCTGCGCGGACGCGCGGACCTGCGCGGAGACGGGCTTGGTCGCCGACATCGCGGGGCCCGTCGGGAAGAAGCCTCCGACCGACAAAAACGCGGTCCGCTGCGTCGCGCTCCGGTCGGACATGGACGCGCTGCGCATGACGGAGAAGAACGAGTGCCTGGCGCACCGGTCGCGGCACGAGGGCGTCGCGCACATGTGCGGCCACGACGGCCACATGGCGTCGCTCGTGCTCGCGGCGGCCCTCGTCGCGCGGCGCAAAGACCGGCTGCCCGCGGGCGCGAGCGTGCGCCTGCTCTTCCAGCCGGCCGAGGAGGGGCCCGGCGGCGCGCTGCCCATGATCATGGACGGCGCCCTGGAGGGCGTCGACGAGTGCTACGGCTTCCACAACTGGCCGTCGTTCCCGCTCGGCGAGGTCCACGTCAAGCCGGGGGCGCTCATGGCCCACGTGTCCGAGTTCACCATCATCGTGAAAGGCAGTGGGTGTCACGCGTCCCAGCCCCACGCGGGCGTCGACGCGGTCCTCGCCGGCAGCGCCGTCGTGCAGGCGCTGCACACCATCACGTCCCGGTCGACGCGGTCCGACGAGAACGCGGTCGTCTCCGTGACGCAGTTCCACGCGGGCGAGGCGACGAACGTGCTGCCGGATTCGGCCGTGTTGAAGGGCACGATCCGCGACCTCGACCCGGCGGTCTTCGACTTGATCGAGAAGCGCATCACCGAGGTCAGCGCGGGCGTCGCGGCGGGCTACGGCGCGACGGCGGAGGTGAAGATCGACTCCATGTGCCCCCCGGGGTCAGTGTACTTTCTCTGAGTTTCCACGAACGCCCATCTTCCCAGGTACCCGGTGGTCTTCAACCACGCCGCGTCCTACGACCACGTCGTCGCCGCCGCGGGCGACCTGGGGCTGCCCGTGTCGGCCGCGGGGCTGCCCATGCTCGGCGCCGAGGACTTCGCGTACCTCATCGACGAGAAGATGGGCGGCGTTCCCGGCTGCTTTTTTTTCGTCGGCGGCAAGGAGGACGCCGTGACGAAGCTCGCGGCGCTCGACGTGAATCTGCCCGAGGTGTGCGCCAAGGTGCCGGCGGCCAAGGCGGCCAAGGTCGGCGCCGCGTCGGCCCTCCGCTCCAACTGCATGTGCCACGCGACGGCCTACGACTTCAACGACAACATCATCCCCGTCGCCGCGAAGATGTACGTGAAGATCCTCGAGCGCCGCCTCGGCTGCGCGCTCTACACGGACGACGAGCTCGCGGGGTTGCAGTAAAGGCACTTCAAACCTTCGTTCAATCTTGAAGGCTTCGCCGATTTCTTGCCTCGGCTTTCCTAGCCTTTCGAAGCTTATGCGGATAGCCGCTGACTGGCGCTCTCCAGATCGCATCACCAACTAGCCTCGGCCCATTCAAGAACAACACGATGGCCACCCGCCGCCTGCTCGCCGACGTGCACCCGTCGCCGACGCTCATCCTCGGCAAGGAGATGACCGTGCTCGAGGCGGCGGAGCTCATGACGAGCGCGCGCACGAACGCGGGCATCGTCCAGGACGCGAAGACGGGCGCGCTCGTCGGCATCCTCACGGACTCGGACGTGTCCATCAAGGTCATCGCCGGCGGCCGGGGCCTGGCGGCGACGCGCGTCGGCGACGTCATGACGCCGCGGCCGCTCTGCTGCCGCACGGACGAGACGGCGACGCACGCGCTCGGCGTCATGGCGAGCAAGCGCGCGCGCCACCTGCCCCTGCTCGACGCCGAGGGCGGCGTGAGCGGCATGCTCGACATCACCAAGGTGCTCTACGACGCCATCGCGGTGCTCGAGGACCGGAAGCAGAAGTCGCAGAACCGCTTCTGGTTCCAGGCCGGCGCGCCGTCGCTCAAGATCCCGAGCCTCGCCGACGCGCTGCGCGACCGGCCGCCGCCGGCGACCTGCGCGCCCGGCGACGCGCTCAGCGCCGTCTTCGAGGGCCTCACGCGGACGCGGCGATCCGTGCTCGTGCTCGGCGGCTCCGGCGAGCTCGTGGGCATCCTCTCCAAGTCCGACGTCGCCAAGGTCGCGCTCCGCGTCGTCCGCGGCGGCGGCGGCGAGCGGGCGATCGGTACGCTCAAGGCGGCCGACGCCATGACCGCGCGGCCGGACCACGTGTCGAGCGAGAAGACGGTCCTCGACGCGCTCCACCGCATGCACGACGGCAAGCACGCGTCGCTGCCCGTGCTCGACGCGGCGACGGGCGCGCCCCTGGGCGTCGTCGACGTGCTGGACCTCATCGACGCCACGGACGTGCACCACGGCGGCTCCCAGGACTGGCTCGGGGAGCTCTTCCAGGGCGGCCCGCGGCCGCGCGCGGCGAGCGGCGGCCTCGGCGACGACGACGACGTCGTCGCCGTCGCGGACGCCGTCGTCGTCGACCCCGCGGACGTGCCGCCGCCGGCGGCGGCGATCCCCGAGGCGAGCCTGCCCGAGACGGCGGAGATCCGCAACAGCATCTCGTCGACGGCGTACCTCCCGGCCAAGGTCACGGCGCCGGCGGCCCTCGTCGGCTACGTGCTCACGCGCGGCCGCGAGTCCGTCCGCGTCGACGCGTCGGGCTCCTTCGAGGACCTCGTCGCCGCGGCGAAGCAGGCCTTCGGCTTCGACGGCGAGGCGACCGTGACCTTCGAGTTCTCGGACGCGCACTCGCACCTCAAGGTCGCCGGCGACTCGTCCCTCAAGGCCGCCCACCACATGCACGACGGCGACGCGCTCCCCCTCGCCGTCGTCGCCGCGGCGCCGCCGGCGACGCGCGGCGCCGTCGTCCCGCTCCTCGCGGCGGCCGCGCTCGCCGCCGCGGCCGTCGTCCTCGCGAAGCGCAAGTGAGGCGGCGCGTGTGTGCATACAGCACGCTTACTTCCTTCGTTGAACATTTGATTGAATGCTCCTTGAATATGGAGCAACTGAGTTGTGCGGCAGCGGTCGTGAAACATGCGGTCTGCGATGCTGTTCTCGCGCAGCGAATGCATGCGCCTGCGGCTGGGCGCCGCGACGCGAGGCGGTGCGCAGCTGCGCGCCGCGACGCGAGCGTGCATGATAGCGCGCGGCGGTTCGAGGCTCCTGGGCGCCGCGACGCGAGGCAGTGCGCGGCTCCTCGCCTCGCTGCCCTTCGACGACGGCTGCGGTCAGTGGCCCGTCGGCGTCGGCAAGGGCGCGCTGGCGCCCGGGTTCGGCGGCGTCCACGACGCGGGCGCCGTGGCCGCGCTCCTCGAGACGCGGCTCGACACGACGGACAGGCCCTACGGCTACGCGGAGCGGACGACGCACGCGCTCCTCGTCCTGCTCGTGTCGAAGCGGCTCGTCGCCGTCGACCAGCTGCGCCGCGCGGTCGAGGGCCTCCACCCGGCGCACTACGCCTCGTTCTCCTACTACCAGAAGTGGGCCGCGGCCATGGCGCAGCTCGGCCTCGAGGCGGGGCTCCTCAACGAGCGCGAGTGGGCCGACGCGCTCGCGGGCGCGGAGGCGCGCGCCGCGGCGCCGCGCTTTTTCGTCGGCGACGGCGTCGTCGTCCGCGAGGACTCGCTGGCGGAGCGCTGGCGCAAGCCGCACCACCGCGTGCCGGGTTACGCGCTCGGCGCGCGCGGCGTCGTCGTCGCCGTCTGCGGCGCCTTTCCGGACCCGGAGGTGCTGGCGTTCGAGGGGCCGGGCGCCGACGCGCCGGCGCGCCACCTCTACCGCGTCCGCTTCTCGGGCCTCCTAGATGGGCGCGACACCGTCGACGTGGAAGTCTACGACCACTGGCTGCGGCCGGACGCCGGCGCGCCGACGGGCGGCGGCCACGAGCAAAAAGGCCACGCCCACGGGTCTCGCGGCGACGCCGAGGCCGCGGCGCTCGACGAGGAGGACGACGACGGCCCGGGGCGCCGGCTCATGGACGCGCTGGCCGCGGCGCTCGTCGAGAACGGGGTCGTCACGCGCGGCGAGCTCCGCGACGCCGTCGAGCGCATCGACGCGCTGGGCGTCGCCGCCGCGGGCCCGCGGCTCGTGGCGCGCGCGTGGGTCGACGACGGCTTCCGCCGGCGGCTCCTCGAGGACGCGACCGCCGCCGCCGCGGAGCTCGGCATCGCCGCGGCGAACGCCACGGCTCCGACGGTGTTGACCGCCCTCGAGAACACCAACGACGTCCACAACCTCGTCGTCTGCACCCTGTGCTCGTGCTACCCGCTCTCGATTTTGGGGTTGAGCCCGCCGTGGTACAAGGACCGCGTCTACCGCGCGCGCGCCGTCCGCGACCCGCGGCGGCTGCTGCGAGAGGCCTTCGACCTCGCGGTGCCCGAGGCCACGACGGTGCGCGTCCACGACTCCACCGCGGACCTGCGCTACATCGTCCTCCCGAAACGGCCCGAGGGCGCGGCGGGCTGGGCCGAGGCGGACCTCGCGGCGCTCGTCACCCGGGACGCCATGATCGGCGTCGCCGCGCCGCGCGCGCCGCCGGGCTAAGCGTGGGCGTCTCGCGTCGACGTCCGAGTCGCGGCTGCCACTGGCAGGAGGCCGACGGCGAGGCCTACGGCGTGCGGGCACCAGTCTCATCGAGAGACGACCCCCGGCCGGGAAGCGGCGACCCGCAGTGGACGGCCTCTTTTGCTGCCCCCGACGCCTGTCGCGCCGCCGCACGCACTCGTGTTTGCTGCCCCCAGACGCCTGCCGCGCCGCCTCGCGCACTCGTGTGGCCTTATTTAAGCTTCGCCGTCGACGCAGAGCTGCGAAGGATGCTCTCGCAGACGTTGCGCCGCGTCGCGCGGCCGGCCCTGCGGTCGGCGACGCCGGCGCCCCTCCGCGCCCTCTCCACGGTGACGGAGACGTCGGCGCCGACGGTGGCGGACATCACGGTGCACATCACCTTCATCGACCACGAGGGGTCGCGGGCCATCGTGCCCGGGCGCATCGGCATGACCATCAGCGACGTCGCGGCGCTCCACGGCATCGACATCGGCCCGACGTGCGGCGGCGGCGTCGTGGACAAGGTCCACAGCGAGGTCTGGACCGAGGACCTCTTCGGCGAGGGCGTGAACCTGGGCTACGACCACGTGAAGATCCCCCAGGTCTGGCTCGAGAAGGTCCGACCGCGCGGCGACTGGGAGCTCGAGCTCCTGAAAAACTACTGGGACGAGGACGACATCGAGGACTCGTCGCGCCTCGGGTCGCACGTCGTCCTCGACAAGGCTCTCGACGGCATCCAAGTCTTCATCCCCGACGGCATCCCCGTCGAGGGCTCGCTCTAGGCGCCGCCGCGCCCGGATTTTCCGCGCGCGCGCGACTCTAAGGGCCTTCGCCGCAGCATTGTCGGACGATGGTAGTTGTCGCGTTTTACCGGCGCAGAGATGGAGGTGTGATGCGTGATGGGAGCGCACCGCGCCCGTCCCGACCCCCGGCTTGTTGAAGCACGAGTGAAATAACTCGGGCGCTTCTCGGGCTCTAGCCACGATGCGGCGGCGCGGGGCGAGCGGCGCAGCCGCCCTCATCATCCTCTTTGCGAGGGTCGTCGCCGAGGATTACTACGGCGGCGACGTGATCCAGGGCGGCCACTTCATGGACGACGAGATGCCGCTCATGGACGACGAATGCCCGGACGATTCCTTCGACGTGCGGAACCGGCGTCGCCTTCACCGGGGCGCGCGCGGCGGGGCGCGCGCGCGGCCGCGCGGCGCGGCGGGCGGCGGGGCCGGGGCTCGTCCGGCGCGCGCGGTCGGCCCCGCGGCCGGGGTGCCGCGCGCGCGCGCGCGCGCGGATTCGCGCGAGGCGCCGGTTCCGTCGCAGGACGCGGCGCTGGCCGTCGCGCGCGAGTTCGTGCTGAGCAACGCGGGCGACGGCGCCGAGAGCTGCGGCGCCGGCGGCGACGACTACGGCGACGTCGACGCCTACGGCGCGTTCCGCGCGGCCGCGTCCGCGGCCGCGGGCGTCGAGAAGGCGACGGCGCTGGCGATCGTGCTCCTCGTCATCGAGCACGGCGCGGCGCCCTTCGACGACCCGGAGGTCGTCGCCCTCTGCCGGTCCCTGGACCCGGACGCGCGGGAGAGCCTCGTGTCGTCGCTCGAGGAGTATTTCGGCGACTTTTACGACTCCGCGGCCGTCGAGCTCGGCGCGCTGCGGTACGCGCTGCTCTCGAACGAGGAGAAGCGCGCGGCCATGGCGGAGATGTCGGCCCACGGCTACGACGCGCTGCCCGAGGAGGCGAGCTTCCTGCTGGAGCGGCTCGGCGGCGGCGGCTTCTTCGAGGACGACGACGTCGTCGAGCTGTGGATCGACGTGCTCTTCTTCCTCCTCGTCTTCGGCGCGCTCTGCGCGCTGAGCGCCATGCTCCGGCGGGCCTACTCGCTCGCCGCGCGGGCGCGGGCGCTCCGGGCCTCGGAGCGCGAGGAGGCGCGGGAGAAGGAGGCCGCGGAGGAGAAGGCGTCGCGGCGGCGGCGCCGCGGCGAGGCGCGGTCGGGCGCGAAGAAGCCCCCCCCCAGGCCGCGGCCCAAGAGCCCCGAGCGCCCCGGCGACGACGCGGCGCCGTCGAGCGCGAGCAGCTCGTCGAGCTCGTCGGACGACGACGCGCCGGAGGCCAACGGCTTCGGCGCCGCGGCCGCGGCGCCGCGGCATCGGAACGGCGGCGCCGCGGCGCGCGGCGGCCGGCCCAAGGCCAAGGCGCGCGAGGCCGCGCGCGCGGCGCCCGCGGCGCCGCCGACGCCCCGGGCGGACAAGAAGAAGGCGCCGAAGGGCGAGCCCAAGGCCGCGGAGCGGCGGTCGCGCGGCGACGAGCGGCGGCTCAAGGCCGCGGCGCGCGCCGAGCGCGACAAGGCGTCGAGCCCGCGGCCGCCCCAGCCCGCCGCGGCGCCGGCGCCGGCTTCCCGGGTCAACGCCTGGGCGGCGCCGGACCCGCCGCGGCCGGCGCCGCAATCCGCGCCGGGCCTCGGCTCGCCGCCGGCCGCGCCGCGGTCGCCGCGGGGCGTCGCGCCGCGCGCGGCGCCGCGGCCGCCCGACGTCGCCGCGTCCGTCAAGGTGCTGCCCGTGCCCCCCGGGGCGACGGGCGCGTCGACCGCGGCGGCGTCGCCTACGTCGACTTCGCGACGCGGAACTGCGCGGTGGCCGCGGCCTTCGACGCGCACGGCCGGCCCCTCTTCGCGGGCGGCGACGCCGTGTCCTGCATCGTCCGCGAGCGGTCCAACTCCCTCGACGGGCCGCCGCCGCCGGCCTTCCCGGCCTTCGGGGGCTTCGGCGACGGCGTCCAGAGCGACCTCCGCGCGGACGCGCCGGCCTTCGGCGAGCGGCCCTTCGCGGCCGAGGACGACGGCCTCGACCGCCTCCCGGCGGGGGTCCTCTGAGTCCGCGGCGTAAATCGGCGCCCAGCACGAACATCCGCTTAGCCTTCTAGGCGACGTCAACGTCCATTGCGAGCTGGGGCCTCAAGCCAATGTTGAAGAAGCTTTTGTCCGAGCCTGAGAGCGGCGCGCAGCTCTCAGTTTTTGAAAGGACCTGTCCGATGCCTGCGTCCTTTGTAGCCCCGCGCGCACCGCGACGCGCGCGCCGAGAGAGTGCGCGGCGACGCGCAAAGGACGCCGCCCGGCCGCGGGCACACGCGCGCCGCGCGCGCGCGACTTTTCGGGGCGCCGCGCGCGATTTGAACGCCCTCGGCGACCCGACCCCCCCTTGCCGACCCGCGCCGCCCCCCGCCGCAGACCCGCACGCCAGCACCATGTTCGAAGCCACCCTCAACAAGGCGAGCACGCTCAAGAAGCTGATCGACGCGATCAAGGACCTCGTGACCGACGGGAACATCGAGGTGAGCGAGACGGGCATGAACCTGCAGGCGATGGACTCGAGCCACGTGTCGCTCGTGTCGCTCGTGCTCCACACGGACATGTTCGAGCACTTCCGCTGCGACCGCGCCGTGACGCTGGGCATCAACCTGCCCAACTTCGCGAAGATCCTCAAGTGCAGCGGCAACGACGACAGCGTGACGCTCAAGGCGCAGGACGACGGCGAGAACCTGTCCATCGTCTTCGAGTCCGAGGGCCAGGAGCGCGTCTCCGAGTTCGAGCTCAAGCTCATGGACATCGACGCCGAGTCCCTGGGCATCCCGGACCAGGAGTACAACACGACGATCAAGATGTCGTCGTCCGAGTTCCAGCGCATCGTCCGCGACATGACGGTCCTCGGCGACACGTGCTCCATCGGCTGCACGAAGGAGGGCGTCAAGTTCTCCGTCCACGGCGACCTCGGCGCGGGCCACATCACGCTCCGGTCCAACGCGTCCGTCGACAAGGAGGACGAGGCCGTCGAGATCCAGATGGAGGAGCCCGTCGAGCTCAACTTCGCGCTCCGCTACCTCGGCTTCTTCACGCGCGCCACGCCCCTCTGCGGCCGCGTCAACATCTCCATGTCGCCCGACGTGCCCATCGTCATCGCCTACCACATCGGCGACAAGGACGCCGAGGGCGCCGGCTCGCTCTCCTACTACCTCGCGCCCAAGATCGACGAGGAGTAGGCGGCGCCGCGGAAAAGAAGAAAAAAGGCCCGAGAGGCCGGACTCCGGCGCCGCGCGGGCCCCAAGTTAACGCACGACCGAAAACGGGGCGTAGTACGACCGGTGAGTGCGCGCGCGCATGCGTGCGGCCGCGCATTGATTACTAGTACGACGACACTGGCAAGGGCAACTCGTAGTGCGACCGGCGAGCGCGCGCGCGCATGCGTGCGGCCGCGCGTTGATGAACCACCAGACGACCTTACGACGCCGGCCTCCGCCAGAGCGCGCGCCACCCGAGGGGCGGCTCCGTGAAGTCCTGCCGCGCGTACGCGGCCGTCGCGTCGAAGCGGAAGGGGGACAGCGCCTCCAGCACGAGCCCCGTGCCGTCGAAGGCGCGCTCGACGTCGGCCCGCGCCACGCGCACGGGCCCGCGCTCGTCGGGCTCGTCCGCGTTGCCGCAGAGGACCATGAGCCGCCCCCCGGGCCGCACGAGCGCGCCGTAGAACGCGCGCGCCGCGGCCTCGTCGACGCCGCGGACGCAGTGCCAGGTCTGGGCGTCGAAGACGAAGTCGAAGGTGCCGAGCTTCGCCGCGGCGCCCGGCGCGAGGACGTCGCCGACGACCGCGCGCGCGTTCTCCAGGTCCCGCGCGCGCTCGTTCGCCGCGTCCGCGGCGCCCTGGACGACGTCGACGCCGAGCGCTTCGTCGAAGCGCGCCGCGAGGGCCGCCAGGTTCTCGCCCGTGCCGCAGCCGACGTCCAGCGCCCGCGCGCCCCGCGGCGCGGCCTCGAGGTAGCGCGCGAGTTCTGCGTAGGCCTCGCCCGACCGCCAGGGGAGCGCGTCGAGCGTCGGCGCCGCGCCCGGCGGCAGGTGCGGCGCGTGCGCGCTGTTGTAGAAGCCGCGCCACTTGCCGAGGCGCCGCCAGCGCGCGTCGTCCGCCGCCGACAGCGACGCGGCGTCGTACCGTCGCAGGTCGAGCGTGCCGTCGGTCCGCGCCGCGCGCCAGTAGTCCGGGTGGTATTTGGACGTGATCACGCGGGCCCCCGCGCGCACGTAGGGCTCGAGCAGGTCGCGCACCTCGCTCCGGCAGACGAGCTTGGGGATGAGGTGCATGTAGACGACCAGCCGCGCGGCTTCGACGCCGGCGACGTGGCGCGGCATGTCGAAGAGGTCGCAGGTGACGTACGTCGCGGCGTGGCCGTCGACGGGCGGCGCCGCGGCTCGACGCGCCGCGGCGACCTCGGCCTCGCAGCAGTCGATGCCCAGGCACGCGCAGCCGACGGTCGCGTGGACGAGGTTCGTCACCGCGCCGACGCCGCAGCCCAGGTCCACGAAGACGTCGTCGCGCGCCACGTCGCCGAGCCGCGCGGCTGCGAGGGCCGTCTCCCGCGGCGTCGTCACGTGCGACGCCACGGCGGACAGCGTGCCGTAGGGGTAGGTCTGCGTGTCGTCCTCGAAGGCCTCGGCGAAGGGCCAGAAGTGGGCCTCGTCGTCGCTGTCGCTGCTGTCTTGGGCGGCGGCGAGGGAGGCCATGTTTGGATGGCGACGGCGTCGATTGCTAGGCGAGCGGCGCGATGCTATCCGTGTGTGGTGATGGCTTTGCTGCCAGGCCACGGCGAGCGGCGCGATGAAGCTAATGAGGCGCATGCATCACGTCTGGAGCGTCGCCTTGCTCCACAGTTGCAAGAAAGTCGGAGCTGAAGCCTCGGAGCACTCGCTGAAGTTTCATTGAGGCTGCAGTCGGCCGGAGCCGGCAACGCCGGCGTCGGCGATCCGCGCGACGACGTGACGGTGGCAACGTTCCGACGTCGCGGAGCTTTTTTTCGACCGAGCCTCGCTCTCGCCACACCATGGGCTCCGCGTCGAGCGCGCCCAAGGCCGCCGCGGCGGCCGTCGACCCCTCGCCGGCGCCGCCGAAGCGGCGGGGCAGCCTCAGCAAGGTGGAGATCCCCGGCGCCGTGACGCCCAAGGCCGCCGAGGGCGTCATGCTGTCCATCGTGACGAACAAGACGGAGCGCAAGCTCTTCGAGACCTACCTGGCCAACGAGTTCTGCGAGGAGATCATCCGCTTCTGGAAGGCGACGGAGACCTTCCAGCGCCACGCGCTCAAACTCGCGCGCGTCAAGCAAGCGTCGGCGGCCGACGCTCCGCCGGAGTCCGTCGCCCTGGCCCACCCGCACCTCCTGCGCTCCGCCGAGGCCATCTACGCCAAGTACCTCGCGCCCGGCGCGCCCGAGCCCGTCAACGTCTCGGCCAAGGTCTCGGCCGCGGTCCGGAGGGCGCTCGACGGCGGCGCGGTGTCCCCCGACCTCTTCGTCAAGTGCAAGAAGCAGCTCCTGTCCATCCTGAGCCAGGGCGACAAGTTCCGGGGCTTCGCCCAGTGGGCCGACAGCGACGCGGCCCTCGAGCAGGTCCTCGAGTGGGCGACGCTCGACGACGCGGGCCGCCTGTCGCGGAAATCCGACTCGACGTTCGACGCGGACACGGCGTCGGAGTTCTCGGACTCGGAGCCCGCGAGCCCCGGCGACGCGCCGCCCCGGAGCCGGTCGAACTCGGCGCTGCCCCTCGTCGACGAGCTCGCGCGCGGCGGCGGCGTCGCCGAGGCGCGCGCCGCGGACCTCCACAAGCACGACCTCGGCCCCGCGCCGTCGCCCCGCGAGCGCAAGCCGTCGCTCCGCGCCGAGGACCACGGCGCCGTCCAGGACCTGCAGCAGCGCGTCGGCGACCACTACGACGTCGACGCCGCGGACGTCGCGCGCGAGGTCGCGGCGTCGTCGAAGCTCGAGGAGCAGGGCGGCGGCGTGCGCCTCGTGCGCGTCTCCGAGCCCATCATCTCCGCCGACATGGTCCGCCGCAAGTCCTCGGTGCAGCAGAGCGTCGACGGCTCCTCCTCCGACGGCAAGAGCCGCAAGGGCAGCGTGACGCTCGACGACCTCCCCCTCTGACGAGACCCCCAACCCCCCCCGACTGTAAATGAGAACTGTGCCCACGTGCGGGAGGCGGGGGGGAGCGCGGGCGCCCGGGCTCACGCGCCGAGCGCGGCCTTGACGCGCGGCGCGTCGTCGAGCATGGCCCAGTCGCTCGTGATCTCCTCGGCGTAGATGTGGCACGTGCCCAGGAGGTCGCCGGCGACGACGGCGGCCTTGAGCTCGTCGAAGGTCGACGGCCCCATCTGGGAGCCGTCGTTGTGCTGCCAGTACCACTCCGCGCGGAGCAGCGCGGGGTCCACGGGCGCCTTCTCCTCCTTGCGCTTCGGCGGCGGCGGCGGCGGCTTGGGCTTCTTCTTCTCCGGCACGGCGGCGCGGGCGACGCAGGCCTCCAGGAGGGCGATCCAGATCTGGAAGTAGCCCCGGTCCGTCGGGCCCACGTCCTTGGCGGACTCGTGGTCCAAGGTGCGGATCGGGTAGTCGCGCGTGCCCGCCGTCAGCACGAAGGTGAGGAGCGTGCTGTCCAAGACCTGGACCTTGGCGCCGCCGAGGGACACGCGGCCCTTGCAGGCGTCGTCCGTCGTCTCGCCCGGGTCCTCGAAGTAGAGGAGCTCGTAGTCGGCGCCGTCCTTCGTCTTCCGCAGCTCGCACCAGCGCTTCTTCCAGTTGCGCCTCCCGAAGAAGCCCGCGCGGCCCTTGCCGTCGGCGGCGCCCGCGCCGCCCTTCTTCCAGAGCCAGGACGCGAAGACGGCCTGGCCCGGCTCGCGCTCGAGGTTCTTGCCCGCGATCGCGAGCGCCGCGGCGCCGTCGGCGATCTTCCCGACGCTCTCGCGCAGGAACTTGCCCCGCTTGACGACGGCGGTCCAGTCGCCGTCGCAGAGCTGGAAGTCGCGGCAGCACCAGTCGCAGACGCGCTCCGACTTGCCGAAGCGGTCGCCCAGCGCGGTGAGGTCGAAGCGCGCCTTCGACGCGTCCGACGACACGCACTCGCCGTTGACGCGGCAGTGGTGGCGCCGGTTCAGGGCCGTGAACTTGGCCTTGGTCACGCAGCACTGGGGCGTGTCCTGCTCCCAGAGCGTCATCGCGACGCCGTCGTCCGCGGCCGCGCCGAGCTTCGCGCGCGCCTTCTCGCGCGTCGCCCGCAGCGCGGCCAGCCACTGGGCCTTCTCCGCGGGCGTGTCGCAGAGGATGATCATGGACTTGTCGCTGTTGAGCACGACGATGGCGTTCTTCAGCCCGTCCTTGTCCGCCTGGTCCTCGAACGACGTCGCGCCGTCCGCGAGGCGGATCTTCCGGTGGAGCTCGAGCGCGCCGGTGCGGCTCTTCGACTCCGTCGCGTAGAGCAGGTCGTCGCTCAGCAAAATCAGGCGGCAGGGCACCTGGGCGCCGCCGCGGCCGTGGACCTTCTTCGCGTCGCCGTCCTTCACCAACAGCCGCGTCGGCTCGTTCGGCCCCACGAGGCAGAGCTTGGGCGAGAACTTCTTCTGGACGTCGTAGAGCTTGGCCTTGGACTCCGTGATGCGGATCTGCTCGTTGTTCTGCTCCGCGACCTCCTTGACGGCGTCCATGCAGCTCTCGAGCTCGTCCATCCACTCGTCCTCGCCGAGCTTCCGCTTCACCTTGACGAGCTCGCGGAGCAGGAGCTCGTAGCGCGGGATGCGCTGCACGGGCATGATCATCAGGCTCCCGAGCTTCTGGTTCTTGAGCGACTCGCGCGTCCGCTCCTCGACGCCCTCGACGAACGCCGCGAAGCGCGGGTTCGCCTCGACCTCGGCGAGCGTCTGCCGCGCGGTGTCGTAGTCGCCGATGTACTTGCTGTAGATCTTCAGGGCGAAGGACATGTTCAGGAAGATGTCGCCCACGCGGTCCCGCGCCGACGCGTCGTCGCCCTCGACGCGGTCCCTCAGCTGCGCGAGCAGCTCGCGGTTCACGAGCAAAATGTCCTCGAGGTTGCTGAAGATCCGGTAGACCTTCTCCATGGGGATGATGGCCCCGCCCTCGGCGAAGACGCTGTCCGCCAGCGGGTGGTGGTACTCGGAGACCTACAATGACGCGTAAGAGGGGCCGCCCTCGACGCCTCCGGGACGCCGCGCTCGGGACCAGCGCGTCGAGGCACTGGACGTACCACGCCTCCGTGCTCACGATCTCCCCGAGGAGCCGCGTCTTGTTCTCCATGAGCTTCGCCCGCTTCGCCGCGTCGAGGATCGGCGGCGCCTCCCCGTCGCGCGGCGTCGCCCCGGCCGACGCCCGCCGCTCCATGGCTCGGATGCGCCGGCTCAGGTCGCAAAAGGCCGCCGAATTGACGAAGGACGGGTCGCCCGCCATCTCGTCCAGCGCGGCCGGCGCCCCCTCCAGCCACAGGGCCGCCATCGTCCGAGGGAATCCGGTCTCAGGGACGTTCCTGCGAGCTTCGGCGCGTCCAAGGCGTGTCGCGCGGCGTCCCGGACGCTCGGGCGTCGGTGGCGAGGCCGGGGCGCCGGTATCGAGGGCGTCGAAGACGTCGAGAAGTCGCCGCGGACGAGACGCTCAGCTAGAACGAGAGGGCTGCCCACATCTCGTGTGGCTGGGAAGAGAAGCCGGGCCCGGAAGAACGCGCGCTCGCCGGGGGTCCGATCGCCGCACGCCCCCCTGCGGAAGAGGCCGAGCCGGGCTACAACGAAGAGCGCGGCTGGGCGGGGGGCGGGCGGGCGAATTGGCGCCCCCTCAGGGGGGCGTGCGGCTGTGCCTGGAGAAGGACTCGTCCTGGTAGCCGCGCATGCGCTGCTGCTGCTGCGGCGGCGGGCCCGCGCTGTTGACGACGTGGATGCCGCCGCGGTTGCCGAGCCAGCCCTCGTCGCGCTGCCACTGGTCGAGGAGCTGCTGCTGCTGCTCGTTGAACCAGGTCGACGCCGTCGCGACGGAGAGGAGCATGCGGACGTCGATGGCGTAGTTCGACGGGTTGTCGGTCCAGCCGCGCTTCAGGTCCTCGTAGCAGGAGCCCACGCAGGAGAAGACGCGGTTCGGCGAGATCTCGCTGGGCCGGTCCTCGAGGTGGGCCGCGACGAGCTGCGCGAGCTTGACGACGCTGTTGCGGTCGTACTTGTACGCGCGGTCGAAGTGGTGCGCGCCGCCGCGGTCGTGGCGGCCGTCGTCGCGCGCCTTGTCGAGCTGGCCCTGGAAGTGCTTCTCGGCCCGCGCCAGGGCCTCCTCGGCGTCGGCCTGGCCCCGCCGCGACGCGTCCAGGTCCCGGTCCGCCATCTCGAGGCGGCCGTAGACGTGCGCGCGCTCCTCGCGCGCCTCGTGGAGCCGCTGCTCCGCGTCGTCGAGCTGGCGCTGCACGTGGAAGAGCTGCTCCGAGGCCTCCCGCGCGTCGCCGCGGGCGCGCTCGAGCTCCGCGCCGGACCGGTTCCGCTCGTCCGCGAGCTCGCCGCGCGCGGTCCGCGCGTCGTTCGCCGCGGCCTCGAGCTGGAACTCGAGGTGGCGCGTGCGCTCGCGCCCGCCGTGGAGCTCCTGCTCCAGGTCGCCGCGCTGGCGCTCGAGCTGCTGCTGGCGCTGGCCGAAGTCGTCGGCCATGGCCTTGCTATCGAGCGCGAGCTCGCTCAGCTGGCCCTGGAGCGCCTCGACGTGGCGCTGCGCCGCGGCCTCGCGCGCCTCGCGCTCCCCGAGCAGGCGCGTGTGGCTCTCGCTCAGCGCCGCGTGGGCCTCGCCGAGGCGCCGGTGCTCGCCCTCGACGGCGCCGAAGCGGCCCGACAGCGCCGCGAGCTGCGACTCGCGGTCCGCGGCGAGGGCCTGGAGCTCGTCGAGGCGGCTCCGCGCGTCGAAGGCCTGCTTCGCCAATTCCTGGTCGAAGTCGTAGGTCCGCCGCTTCAGCTCGCCCTCGAGGTGCGCCGCGCGCCGCGCCGCGTCCTGCCGCTCCGCGACGGCCTCCGCGAGCCTCGCCTCGCTCCGCGCCAGGGCGCCGTCGAGCTCGCGGATCTTCAGGTCCCGGGGCGACCCGAGCTTCCGCGCGCACCGCGCCTCGTGGCTCAGCGCGTCGCCGAGGTTGCCCGTCCACTTGCACTCTCCGCGCTCCGCGTAGCAGCACCGGACCTTGATGGCGCCCCAGATGCGCCGCACGATGGGGTTCGCCTCCTTGACGAGGCGCAGCTGGCCGTGGCTCAAAGCCTTGCGGTCCTGGGGGCAGACGGCCTGGCGCCGCAGCGAACTCCGGATGCACTCGCGGCAGTAGATGTGGCCGCAGGGCGTCTGCACGGCGTCGTCGGACACGACGCCGAGGCAGATCGTGCAGAGCAGGTCGTAGGGCACGGCGTCGGGCTCGATGCACCGCTCCGTGGGGATGCCCATGGACCCCTCGCCGCGCATCTCGACGCCGATGGTGCTCGGGCAGCATTCGGGGAGCGACATGGGCCGATCGACCGCGTCGGCGCGTCGCGTTTTTTTCCGGCGCCGGCCCCCGGACCCGACGGAGCGCGGCCAGAGACGGTCCGCGGGCCGCGCGTCCCGCGGATGGGACCCCAGGCACGCGGCCGAAGGCGGCGTCCAGAGAGCCTCTCCCTACGCAGAGCCCGTAACGCGTAATTGTCGCATGTTGCAGTCGGGCTGTTCATGCACAATGAAGGTGGTGGTGCAGCCCCATAATATTATGGGCTGTCCACTTCTCACGATGGTGGCCTGCCTGCTCCCGGCGATCCTGGCCCTGGACCGCCCACCGGCGGCCATCGACGCGAGCGGGACCTACATCGTCCAGCTCTGCGCCGACGCCGACGAGGCCGCCGTCCGGCGCCATCTCTCGCGCGCGCACGGCCTGGAGCGCTCGCCGCAGCGGCGCCTGCGCGCCGGGGGCGCCGGCCGCCTCAGCCGGCACGTGCACGCCGCCGTCGGGCGGCCCGGGCGGCGGAGCCTCGTCGTCGGCGGCCTCGACGCCGCCGAGGCCGGCGCCGTCGCGGCGGCGCGGGGCGTCTGCCGCGTCGAGGCCGACGCGCCCGTGCGCAAGGCCGCGACGAACTGGGGCCTGGAGGCCATCGCCGGCGAAACGACGCCCCTCGCCGTCGCGGGCGCCGGCGCGACCATCGTCGTCGTGGACACGGGCCTCGACGCCGCGCACTGCGAGTTCGACGGCGACCGGACCGTCGAGAACGCGTTCAACCAGTGGCGCGACGGGTCCCTGGGGACGAACGTCGACGGCGACGGCCACGGCACGCACGTCGCGGCGCTCGCCGCCGGCCGGAGCGTCGGCGTCGCGAGCGGCGCGGACGTCCTGGGCGTGAAGACGCTCAGCGACGACGGCGCCGGCACCGTCGCGCTCTTGGTGGAGGCGCTGGACTGGGTCGTCCGGTGGCACGAGGCCCAGGCCGCGCCGCGCAGAACGACCATCGTCAACCTGTCGCTCGAGGCGGACATCGCCTGCGGCGGGCCCTGCGAATCGAGCTCGCTCTACCGCGCGCTCGAGGATTGCCGGGACGCGGGCGTCGTCGCCGTCGTCGCCGCGGGCAACGCGGGCGAGGACGCCTGCGCCTACGCGACGTCGGCGGCGGGGGCGCTCGACGGCGTCATCGTCGTGTCGTCCCACGACGACGAGGACCGCGTGGACCCGGGCGACGCGAACACGGGCCCGTGCGTCGACGTCTTCGCGCCGGGCGAGGACCTGCGCTCCGCGGACGGCGGCACGGGCTGCGGCTTCACGCTCGAGTCGGGCACGTCCCAGGCCGCGCCGCTCGCCGCCGGCGTCGCCGCGCAAATTTTGGAATCCGGGCCGTTCCGGTCGCCCGCGGACGTCGAGGCGCTCGTCGCCGCCGCCGCGGACGGCGGCGCGCTCCGGGGCGTGCCCGCGGACACGCCGAACCTCGCGCTCCGCGCGCTCGCGGCGCCCGCGCCGACGCGCGCGCCGACGGCCGCGCCGACGGCCCCGCGGACCTGCGTCGATCGCGACGGCTGGTCGAAGAAGGGCGCGCCGTCGAAGGGCTGCGCGTGGGTTGCCGCTTTTCCCGGCGACCGCTGCGCCGTCAAGGGCGACGCGAGCTACGCGTGGCAGAGCTGCCCGGCGACGTGCGGCACCTGCGCCTACGACTGCGCCGACGCGGGCGACTCCCCGACCTGGCACAAGCGGGGCGACGAGGCCAAGGGCTGCGCCTGGGTCGCGAACTACTTCTACAACCGCGCGGCCGTCGTCGGCGCCGACGGCGCGCTGGCCTACGAGCGCTGCCCCGCGGCGACGCGGCGCTGCGCCTACGGCGGCTGCGGCGACGACAGCGCGTCGTGGCGCAAGGCGGGCCAGCCGTGGAAGGACTGCGCGTGGGCCGCGGCCGCGGCGAGCCGCTGCGCCGCCGTCGGCGACGACGGGACCTACGGCTTCGAGGCCTGCCCCGCGGCGTGCCTCGCGTGCGCCGCGCGCTACGAGACCTGCGGCGACGCCGAGAGCTGGCACAAGAAGAGCGCCCCGGGCAAGGACTGCGCCTGGGTCGCGCGCGACGCGGGCCCGCGCTGCGCGGCCAAGGGCGGCGACGGCGCGTGGGCCTGGCAGTCGTGCCCGGACGCCTGCGGGATCTGTCCGTAGCGCCCGTTAGGTCGCGTCCCCCCGGAGGTCGGCGCGCGCGATGGGCGCGAGGCAGAGGAGCCAGCGCGGGTAGAAGAAGTCGACGTCCGTGCCCGCGTAGTTGATGACCATGGGCAGCCAGAGCTTCTCGATGTTGAGGATGATGCGCGACTTCTCGAAGAGGACCTCGACGAAGGCCGCCTGGCGCACCTGCTCGAAGGCCGAGTTCATGATGGCGATGAGCAGGTTCAGCAGCAGCAGCGCGACGGCGAACATGAAGCACTCGAAGATGACGACGATCTCGCGGTTCGTCCGCCGTACCGTGTTCGTCTGGTAGAGCCCCGAGTCGATGAGGTCGATGGCCTGGTCGAAGGTCGGCGGCTGGTTGTAGAGCAGGGAGAAGGACACCCAGAAGCCCAACAGCAGGATCGACACGACGATCATGAAGTGGCGGATCTCGTAGCCAATTTTCACGATCATGCGCACGAGCGCGCCGAGGTCGTCGAAGACGCGCGCGAAGGAGATGATCTTGAACGTGAAGGCGAGCAAATTTAAGCAGCAGAACACGCTCAGCACGTCCAGCGCGCCGACGTCGAAGGCCAGAACGCCGTCGACGACGAGCTGGAGCGCGTAGCAGAACAGATCCAGCGCCTTCCACGCGCTGTGCGCGCCGCCCCCAAAGTACTCCCGCTGGCCCTCGATCAAGATCTGGCTCAGCTCGATGCACAGGAAGCCCAGCGACAGCAGCGCGGCGAAGACGAGCGTCAGCAGCTCGCCGACGCCGCGCGGCGACCCCCCGGCCGGGTTCCGGATCGTCGTCCGGTCCCGTTTGTGGTCGAAAACCGCGAAGTAGAGGCCGCAGACCACGCTGAGGTGGAGCACGCAGAGGGCGAACTGGGACAGGAAGATGGCCTTGGCGAACGCGTCCCACTTGAACTGGATGATCGACTGCACGAGGACGGAGTTGTACGCGCGGTAGACGCCCTGCTGCGCGGACGCGCGCGCGACGATGGCCAGGAAGGAGTCGGGCTCGGGCATGCCCCGGGCGAAGGTGCCGCAGATGGACTCGAAGGGCGCCCGCAGCGCCGCGACCTCCGTCTTCTTCAGGTCCGCGAACGCGAAGCCCTCGCGGTAGCGGTCCGCGCGGTCCGCGATCATGAGGCGCCAGGCCTCGTTGCCCGGCGTCTCCAGCGCGCTCGTCGCCGGGTGGGCGTCCTGGGCGAAGCCCGGCAGGGAGAAGCGGGACCGCTGCGTGACGAAGAGGTTCACGCGCGTCGCGTCGAGCGCCTTCTGCGAGATGCCGCTCCACCGCTTCCGCATCATCGTCGGCTGCCGCTCGGGGGCCGCGGGCGCCTTGCCCGTCGGCGACGTCATGCCGAAGGCCTGGTCCGTCTGCTGGATGGAGCTGACGCGCGCGGCCTTCTTCCGCGCGCCCGTCGACCGCTCGGACCGCTCCGACTTGCGGAGCAGCGGGTCCCAGAACTTGGCCGGCGACCGCTCGGACGAGCCCGCGGTGATCAGGTTCGTCGACGACGGCAGGAGCGCGATGTTGCGGCCCATGGGCGCCAGGGCGTGGTCCTGGATCATCGTCAGGTCCGTGAGGAACGCGACGAGGATGTCCGGGTACTTCTCCGCGAGCTCGCCGAGCGCGGACGTCGTCGCCGTGCCGCCGAGGGGGAACTGCGCCGCCGACGCCTGGATGCTGTCGAGGAGGCGCCGCACGACCGTGCGCCGCTCGTTGCGCAGCGCGACGGCGAGCGCGTTCATGCCGTTGCCGTCGCCGAGCGCCGCGCCGACGACGCACCGCGCGCCCAGGAGCCGCTCGACGACGGCCGCGGACTTCTTCCGCACGGCGTACTGGAGGAGCGTCTCGCCGGAGAACCCCCGCGCGTTCACCACCGACGGGTGGGCGCAGAGGATGGCGCCGAGCGCGCGGTCGTGGTCCAGCGCGGCCTGCGCCATCTCGTAGCTCGGCCGGTCCGCGTAGGACGGCGCGTTCGTGCCCGTGCCGTAGGTCGAGAACAGCGTGCCGCTGCAGTAGGCCAGGCCGTGGCGGCTCAGCGACACGCCGTGCGTCGACGTGTGCCGCCGCAGCGCGAGCGCGAGCCGCGGCGCCGCCGCGCCGACGTCCGCCCAGACCTACCACGCATGACGGTAACGATGTTTCATCTTTTCCCCAGCCGAAATCTCTCGAAACTCGTCACGGCCACGGGACGCTGGCCAAGACCTCGACGCACGGCTGCTCGGACGCGACGGCTAATAGCGACGGCGCGCAGGGGCTGAACTCGATGAACTGGACGAGGCCCTCCTGGGAGATGGTCGACAGCCGCGCGTAGGGCGCCCGCGCGGCGAAGACGACGACCTGGCAGTTGACGCAGCCCACGGCGACGTGGCGGTCGTCGTGCGACGCCGCGACCGCGTAGACGAACGCGTCCAACAGCCAGGCGTGGGCCGGGTCGCCGAGGTCGCCCCCGGCGCCCGCGACGGCGTAGAGCGCCACGCGCTTGTCCCGGCCGCCGACGAGGAGCCCGCCGCCGTCGGACGAGAGCGCGACGGAGTAGACGCGGTCGCCGCGCCTCGCGTGGTGCGTCTCCCGGTACGTGTTCGCGTCGACGACGTAGGCGTAGGCGTCCCAGTGGCCGATGGCGAGCCGCGACCCGTCGCCGGCCCAGGACAGGGCCCAGGTGAAGGGCGCGCCCCTGCCGCGCCACGTCGTCTTCTGCCACAAGATCGCGCCGTCGGCCGCGCGGTAGACGCAGACGCCGTTGCTGTAGTCGCCGGCGGCGACGGCCTCCCCGCTCGGGGCGCAGCGCACGATCCAGACCTTGGACTTGTGCAGCGCCACCCAGGCGGGGGCGCCCAGGGGGTGGTCGCCCTCGAGCTTGAAGCACCGCGTCGCGCAGTCGTCGCCGCCGACGGCGAGGATCGTCCCTTCGCGGTCGAGGGACACGGACCGCACCATCTTCGACCCCTCGGCGACGTGGCAGTGCGCGCCGACGCGCGTGTGGCGCACGTGGAACTTCGCGTCGAAGCCCCCGAAGGCGACCTTGTAGCCCGCGCGGCCCAGCGCGACGCAACGCACGCGGTCGTCCGCGACCTCGCCGTAGAGCGTCGCGCCCGTGTTCACGTCGCAGAGCGTGACGCGCATGGACGCGCCCGCGAAGAGGATCTCGTCGCCGCTGTGGCTCAGCGCGCAGCTGTAGAGCAGGTCGCCGTCGACCTCCTGGAAGACCGCGCACCGCTCGAACAGATCGAAGACGACGACCTTGCCGCGCGAATCGCAGGCCGCGACTCGCGTCCCGCCGCCGGAAATCGCCACGCCGTTGACCGTCTGCTCGAAGGGCATCGTCAGCTCGCGGCGCGCGAAGCGGACGACGCGGGTGCCGTTCTCCTCCACCACCGACCGCACCACGTCCGGCGTGCCGGGCGCCACCTCCGTCGCGTTCAGATCGTAGGACCAGAGCACGGCCTGCTGGGCCTCGCCGCCCATCATCATCAGCTTCAGCGTCTCGCGCCGCATGTCCGCGATGCCCCGCACGCGGAACGTGCAGGGCATGCGGTCCCGCTCCCCGAACGGCGCGCCCGTCTTGTTCGAGATGCGCCGCAGCGGTTTCCGAGGCGCCCGCAGGCTCTTCGCGGGGGTCGGCAGCCCGTCGCCCGGCGCCGCGTCCCGCAGGCGCGCGTAGGCGTCCTCGGCCTCCGTCCAGACGTCCTCGCGGTCCACGTCGCGGACGACGTCGCCGCCCGGGAGCTCGACGTCGTAGCGGAGCTTGCCGCGGTAGTCGCTGGACGCCATCTTGCGGATGATGCGCCCCGCGCGGACGACGCGGACGAGGCGGACGAGCCGCACGAGGCGCACGGCCTTGGCGAAGCCCTCGGCGCCGCTCAGATTCGACCCGACGGCGCCCGCCAACAACACGACGTCGATGAGCACGACGATGAAATCGACGACGCAGAAGGGGTCGCCGAAGAAGGTGCGCAGGTGCCTACCGAGCACGACGGTGACGATGTCTCATCGTTTCCCCACCCGAGATCTCTCGAACATCGTCACGGCCGCAGGACGCTGGCAGGTGCCGGTAGACCTGGAGGTGGCACGCGATCCTCGCCCCCAATTCGACGACGAAGAGGCACGTGATCCACGTGTCGACCCGGGACGCCGCGCGCGCGTCGATGCGCACCTTCGCGACCGTGAGCGAGCTCAAGAGCACGGAGATGAGGACGAGCGTGAGCATGACGCACAGGACGGGCACGGACTCCAACTGCACGAGCAGAATGTCCGCGACGCGCGTCGTCTTGATCTTGCTGATGCGCAGCGTGCAGCCCTGGACGAGCGCGGTCGTCGAAGACGCGGCCGTCGACGCGCTCGCCGGCGACCGGTGCAGCGACTCGAGCTCCGCCAGGTCGCCGAGGCCGCGGGGCGTCGACGGCCGGTCCGAACTCGGCCGGAGCCGCGTTTCCTCGTCCACGTTCTTCGTCGAGAAGGAGCGCGCGAAGAGCTTCGACGGCGACTCGTGCGTCGTTCCGTGCTCCTCGACACACTTCGCCGTCACGCGCAGCGACGCGCCGCCGTCGAGCTCGATGACGTGGACGATGGAGCGCGCCATGGACACGGCCCAGAGGATGCCGTCCGCGGGGAACACGAACTTGGGCTCCTTCGTCGCGAGCGAAAAGATCGTCAGTTCGCACTCCGCGGCGACGGCGACCTCGCCGTCGGACTCGTTCAGCGCGATGGCGTTGACGTTCTGGCCGAGCTCCCACGTCGCCGACGACGCCTTGCAGCCCTTGGGCGACGTCGAGAACGCGTGGGGCGGCTCGCCGGGGTCCTCGCCGGGCGGCGGCGCGGCCTTGAGGACGTCCTCGACGAAGTCGACGCGGCCGCCGAAGCAGCCCGACGCGACGCCCCTGACGCCGAGGGAGATGGCGCCGACCATGTTCGGCAGGCGCCGCTCGAGCAGCCTCCGCTCGACGCGCTCCGAGAGGTCGTAGACGACGAGCACGGAGTCGATGCCGCCGCAGCCGACGCGCGACGCGTCGGGCGAGAACGCCAGCGTCGTCACCGTGTTCGACCGCGGCACGGAGAGCCGCGACGGGCCGGGCCCGGCGACGGCGTCGCGGCTCTCGAAGAACGCGCAGACGTCGCGGACGCGCGTGTGGTCGAAGGAGTTGTCCAGCAGGTCGTGGAGCGCGTCGAGCTCCGCGTCCTGCAGCTTCACGTCCAGGTCCTGCGTGCAGAACTCGCCCATCTCCTCCGCCTGGACGAGGCCGTCGCCGTTCGTGTCGAGGCGGTCGAGGTACCGCGTCGCCTCGTCGTCGATCTCGAGCTCCGCCTTGTTGCGCAGCAGGTGGGCGAGGTCCACGGGGCTGTACGTCGCGCGCTGCATCGTCGCCGCCGCCGCCGCGTCCTTGGACAGCGACGACGTCCGCGACAGCGTCCTGAGCTCGCCGCCGTCCGTGACGCGGCGCGCGACGGGCGGCCCGGCGTCCGGCTCCTCCGGCGGCGCGGGCGGTGCCTCCGGCGGCGGCGGCGGCAATTCCTCCGGCGGCGCCGGCGGCGGCGCCAGCGCCGCCCGCAGGACGTCGCGAGCCGCGTCGTCCGCGCCTTCGAGGCCGCGCCGCAGCGCCGCGACGGCGCCGTCGCTCGTCGCGATCTGCGACAGGAGCGTCGCGATGGCGACGCACTGCGCGTCGACGAGCTCCTGCGGCGCCATCGCCGCAGCAGTCGGGGGCCGTCGCGGGCGTCGGCCGCCGCTGCGGTCGCCGGCGCGCGCCGGCCCCACCCTGTCTGGGAATGCGGGGCAGCCTCTCTGCGGCTCAACTAATTTGCTTGATGGGAAACTTGACGTTGTTGCAGGCCGAGCCGATGAGGAGCGCTGATGGCAGCGACGAGCTCGATGATGACAACAGCGATGCGCAGCGCGACGACGACGCAGACGACGCCAGCGACAACAGCGATGCGCACGACGACGACGCCAGCGACGCCGACGCCGACGCGCCAAAGCTCACGCTGAAGGAGCGCGTCCACTACTTCGTCGCGACGCGCGTCAGCGGCGCCGCCGTCGCCAAGGTCGCGTTCGTCGTCTCGTTGTGCTGGCTCGCCGCGCTCCCGAGCGTGTCCGTCGTCACGACGGAGGCCAAGATGCGCGGCACGTACTTCGACGAGACGACGCTGTCGCCGATGGCGTCGAAGAGCACGCTCCACGCGTCCGGGACCTTCGACGCCGAGGCCGCCGCGGCGGGGCGGCGGCTGCGCGGCGGCGCGACGTTCTGCGACGAGCTCGGCGTCGCCTGCGAAACGTTCGCGAACGCGAGCCACGGCGTCGTCCGCCCGTCGAGCGGCGCCGCGGCGGCGGAGGCGCTGGTCGTCGCGGCCGCCAACGACGCGAGCGCGCCGCTCGTGCTGGGCATCGCCAAACACCTCGGCGAGGTGCCCTGGCTCGCGAAGAACGTCGTCGCCGTCGCCGCGGCCGACGGCGACGCGCTGCGCGCGTGGGCCCGGCGCTACGTCCGCGGGTCGGAACCCATGGCCCGCGGCGGCGCGCTGCGCGCGGCGCTCGTCGTCGACGTCGCCGAGGGCGCGCCCTTCGGCGGCGTGCGCGTGCGGACCCACGGCTTCGACGGCGAGCTGCCGAACCTGGACTTCGCGCATCTGGTCGCGACGGCGTTCCCGGGCCTCGCGCGCGTCGACGCGTGCCTCCCCGGCCGGCCCTGCGAGTTCGCGGCGCGGGACTACGTCGGCCGGGCCGGGGGCCTCGCGCGCTGGGCCGGGGGCCTCGCGCTCGGCGCGTCGGGGCCGCACGCGGGCTTCCTGCGGCTCGGCGTCGACGCCGCGACGATCGAGGGCGCGCGCGCGTCCAAGAGCGCGCCCAAGACCATGGACCTCGCGCGCGTCGGCGTCGGCGTCGACCTCGTGCTCCGCAGTTTGAACACCGTGGAGCACGAGCTCCACCACGGCTACTTCCAGTACCTGCAGCCGGACGCGCGGTCGTTCGCGTCGTTCGACGAGGTCGCGGGGCCCCTCATGCTCTCGATCCTGCCGCTGGGCATCCTCGGCGCGCTGGCGCTGACGGATCTCGCGTTGGACGGCATTCTGGACGCGGGCGTCGACGTCCTGGGCGACGCGGCGCTGGACGCCGCGGGGCTTCTCGTCGCGCCCGTCGCGGGCGGATTCGCGCTCCTGCGCGCGCTGCTCGTCGCCGGACCGGCCGCCGCGCTCCTCGCCCTCGCCCTGACCTACGCGGCCACGTGCGCCGTCTACGCCGCGACGCGCGGCCGCCGGCCCTTCGCGGTCGCGGCGCTCCGCCTCTACGCGGCCTACTGCCACGCGCCGCTCGTCCTCGGCCACCCGTGCCTGCTCCTCTTCGCCTCGCCGCCGCTGACGGCGCTCCTCGCGGCCCTCGCGCCGCTCCGCGACGCGGACACGCCGAAGCTCCGCCGCGGCGTCGCGCTCGCGCTGTGGCTCGCGGCGTCGCCGCCGGCCGTCGCCGCGGCCGTCGCCGCGGCCGCGCCCGCGGAGGACGCGGGCGCCTGGCACCCGGCGCTCCGCCGCCTCCGCGCGGACAGCCTCGCCCTCGGCGCGCCCGACCGGAAGCTCCTCTACGTGGCCCTGGCCTACGTCCCCGCGCACGCGGCCGCGGCCGCGGTCCTCTTCTTCGGCGCGCCGCGCCGCGCCCAAACTAATAGTTAATGCCACAAATACTCCTCCGCGGAGCGTATGCGTCCCCCGGCGCCCAGCCGGCAAATCCACCGGCGCGTTAGCTGCTCCGCGAAGACCCCTTGGCTTTTGGCGGGGCAGCCTTGGTTTGCACTGCTGTATTCACTCTCCCGGTATCCGCAGCCAGGCCCGCCGGGCCACTCAGGCTGCCCGAGCTGTGAAGGGCTGGAACAGTGCGGAGGCCAGCCGCGGGTTGCGACCGCACAACCATGTTCGGCCGCGCGAACACGTTCCATGCGAGCCACATCCAGGCGCGTGACCCGGGGGCCGCACCCGGGGCCGCGGGCGCCCGCCCGCCCGCCGTCCGCGGCAGCCCTCCCCCCCGACGTTCGGGGCGGGGGCCGAGCGTCGCGCCGCCGCAGGTCTACACGCCGCAGACCGTGAGCTTCGAGGTGACCCTCAAGAAGGGCATGAGCACGTCGAAGCGCACGCTCGTCGTCGAGCTCCACAAGCACGTCGTCACGCAGCTCATGGGCACGTCCGGCGCGGAGCGCAAGGTGAACCCGTGCCGCGAGTACGCGCGCATGAAGCGCAAGGGCGCGGAGATGGAGGTCATCCTCGACGACGGCCACGGCCACCGGCGCAAGAAGTACGTAACCTTCCGGAGCGCGCAGGAGGCGCTCTCGTTCGAGCAGCTGCTCACGCTCGACAACGCCGTCGGCGACCAGCTCCAGTACATCTTCAACCTGCTGGACAAGGACTGCAGCGGGCGCATCTCCGCCGAGGATTTACGGCTGTCGCTGACGGCCGAGGGCATGGACGCGTCCGCGGGCACCGTCGCGGCGATGATCGACCTCGTCGGCGACGGCTCCGACAGCCTGCACTACGCGACCTTCTTCCAGCTCTTTTTAGGCGTCGACGGCGACGAGCTCCGGAGCGAGCGCCAGTGCCTGCTGCGCTGGCTCGGCGCGGCGCGCCAGGCCGCGCGCGGCGCGGACGCGGCCGCGGCGGCGGCCGCGACGACGGCGTCGCACGTCGCGTTCCTGCCCGGCGAGGACGTGGCCCACATCGTCGAGCACGTCAAGTACGCGTTGAACACGACGGAGCACATGGGCAAGGACTACGAGCTCGTCGGGGTCATGTACGTGACGAACTACCGTTTGAAGCTCGTCGCGTACGAGAGCACGCTCCGGACGCGGGGGCTCCACGGCCGCGCGGTGCGGGGCCACGGCGCCGGCGGCCTGGGCCTGCCCGAGGCCGTCTTCGAGGAGCTGAGCTTCCCCCACGGCGCGACGTACCGCGTCGAGTACCGCGACGGCGCGCGCGACATGCGCGTCGTCGACCGCGCGGGGCGGTCCGCGCGGCTCCGGTTCGAGGCCGACGCGGCCTTTGTGGACACGCTGAAGCGCTGCGTCGAGGACTTCGCCTTCCCGGCGACGCACGAGGACCTGCGGGCGAACACGGCGCGGCTCGAGAAGACGTTCGCGTTCGCCTACAAGCTCCACGACGCGTTCCTCATGGCCGCGGCGGCGCGCGCGCCGGCGGCCGAGGCGCAAAGCCCGCCGCCGCCCCGGGCCTTCGACGACGGCTGGGACGTCTACGCGCCCGCGCGCGAGTTCGCGCGCCTCGGCTTCGTCCGCGCCGACGGGTCGGCGACGGCGGACTGGCGCCTCTGGCACGACTCCTACGACCTCAGCGACACCTACCCCATGGAGTTCGTCGTGCCCGCGCGCCTCGGCGACGACCTCGTGCGCGAGGCCGCGGCCTACCGGTCGAAGAAGCGCGTGCCCGCGGCTGTCTGGCGGTCGCCGCGCACGGGCGCGGTGCTCTGCCGGAGCTCGCAGCCCATGGCCGGCGTCGCCTACAAGAGCTCGCGGGCGGACCAGCTGCTCCTGAACCTCTACCGCTGCCGCGGCGCCGAGGGCAGCCTCGACGCGGCGCGGTCCGCGAGCGACCCCGCGGCGCCCGCGCCGCGCGCGTCGACGGTGCCCCTCAGCGACAACCCCATGGGCATGCCCCGGCGGCCCGGCGCCGCGCCGCCGCCGCTGCCGCAGGGCCTGCCGCCGCCGCCGCCGCAGCCGCCGCCGCCGCAGCCGCCGGGCGGCGCGCCGAGGACGCCCGGCGGCGGCGATCTGCCCATCCACATCGTCGACTGCCGCGGCCGCGCGGCGGCGCTGGGCAACCGCGCCCAGGGCAAGGGCACGGAGGCCGTCGGCGACTACGAGAACGCGACCCTCAAATACTGCGACATCGGCAACATCCACACGATGCGCGAGAGCCAGCAGCAGCTCGTCGCGCTCCTCGGCGCGCCCGACGACGAGAGCGTGCTCTACCACAGCGCCCTCGAGGCGACGGGCTGGCTCAAGCACCTGGCCCTCGTGCTCAAGGCGTCGATCCACGTCGCGCGGCGTTTGGAGGACGAGGGCGCGTCCGTGCTCGTGCACTGCTCGGACGGCTGGGACCGCACGGCGCAGGTCTGCGCGACGGCGCAGCTGCTGCTGGACCCCTACTACCGCACGGTCGAGGGCTTCGCCGTGCTCGTGGAGAAGGAGTGGTGCGCCTTCGGCCACAAGTTCGCGGAGCGTCTGGGGGTCGCGCGGCGCGAGGCGCTCAAGCCGAACGAGCGGTCCCCGGTCTTCGTCCAGTGGCTCGAGTGCGTCGCCTGGGTGCTCAGGCAGTTCCCGCGGGCCTTCGAGTTCAGCGAGGCGCTCCTCGTCTTCGTCGCCGACGGCGCGGCGAGCGGCCTCTTCGGCACGTTCCTCGGCGACACGGAGCGCGACCGCAAGTGGGTCATGCGGTGCCCGAAGCGGACGGTGAGCCTCTGGACCTACGTCCTCAACGCGCCGGCGAAGCCCCACTACCTCAACGCGACGTACCAGGCCTTCCACGGGCCCCTCT